GTAGTCGTTAATTACAGTCCTATTATAACAACAAACTTTTCGATGATTTGTGTGTAAAATGGTCTCTAATCTAAAATCGTTTTCTGTTATTCTGAATTATTTTGGATACATTTATTTTACATATTACTAAAGTACATACATGCCTTTAAGTTGACTTGCAGTGTATTTATATTTTTACCTTTCACCAACCATGTATCCAAGTGAACTGGTAAATAACTCTCCGAACCCTCTTCCCACACCTAACTTTAATCATATGTGAAATGATTTTAACAGCCTGGTCCCATCTCTGCCCTGTACTGTATGCTTGTGGGAGCTCTCATCAGGAGAATGGCTCTGACCCGAGATTCTGCTGCTGCTGCTGCTGCTGCTGCTGCTCCTGCTGCTCCTGCTCGGAGGCAAACAGATTGTATTTACACTGTCACTGTCAGAGCAGTACCAGGAAGCACAGCAGAATTTGGTATATTTGTATATTTATATGTCTTTGTTTGTTAGTTAGTAAGATGTTTTTATAATAATAATTTTCAGACATTTATTAAAAGTACAGTGTACAGATTTGTCCCTTTTTTAAAAACTTTATCTTGAAGGCTTTCCAGACTCACACATGACCAGGTGTAAGTGGCTGACACGTGACCTCACCTCACACAGTCCTCATAGTTAATATTTGTCGAAGTTAGGTTTGTTTATCTCTTGTCATAGAACTGGGTGTACTTTGCCTCTTCATTTGCCTCATTTGCAGTTAAACTTACTGTCATCTGACTAAATTAACCTTTTTATTTACCACAGTCCTATCAAGATATTTAATGCAGGACTTTTTGCTAAAAAATCCAATGGGCTGAATTGTGGTTTAACGTGATAGTCTGGAACTCTAAATGAATTACAAATTTTAAGAATTGTATTAAATTGACCCCTGGCCTTAAATGTTGATATAAAATAAGTCATTTTATTAATTCTAACATTACGGGTAAGTCCCGCCTTCCCTTCTCTTAACTATAGCTCAAAATCCACGATGCCGTCCACGTTAACCAATCAAGTCATGCCAAGGGCTGTCAATCATCGCGCGCATGCTCGTAGCTGCGCGCATGCTCGTAGCTGCGCGCATGCTCGTAGCTGCACGCATGCTCGTAGCTGCACGCACGCTCAGTTGTTTGTTTTTGCGGAGCCTCCGAATCAAGGCTCCATTAGGCTCTGAAACTCCATGAAAACTGAAAAAAGAATTCTGAACATCCGCGCTGAGTTACCCATTTATATACTGAACCTATATCCATAATCAGATCCTCTGCTTCATGATAATAGCTACTTCCGGGTTTGCCGCAATCGCTTTTTTGTGCGTTAAAACGTATATTTTTTCTCATTAAAACGTTAACAAATAATTCTGAAAACCTCCGTGCATGTGAATTAATAACGTATACTGTATGTATAAAGTGTTCTCCGATTAACATTTTGATCTGTTGATTGATTGTTACGGAATTGTACGCGTAGACCAATCAGAAAGGAAGGGGGAGGGAGCTTTGGTTGTTTTTTTCAAATCATGTACCTCTTTGTCTTTTATCTGACAAACTCCAGACAATCACTTTAATCATCAAATTGACGTTTAATGAAGTCCACATGCTGATTATTTTGTCTATTTAAAACTCAATGTAAGAGATCCTAGGCAACCAGAATTTATCAACTGGGTCTAGTGTGATATTTGTTCAAGTTAGGTGCTCTTTTACATAAAAGATTTGTGATTTATTTCTCAGATTTCTCACACACACCATTGGGCCAAGTCAGGTCATGATGGCCTTTCTTAGTTTGTTTTTTGCTCTTTTAGTAGTTTCCCTTTTACAAAACCAGAACAACATTATCAAAATAAAATAAAAACTAAAAAAAACATATATTTTTTGCATTATTGATACCAATCTGTGGAACATTCAGGTCACACGCACATTGTAGACGGGCAGACTGCTCTTCACCAATGGGATGATGAGCTATCCTCAGTTTTCCTATTCTAGCCGCCTGAATGTAGGACTGAGTTTGTTTTGAGTCTTCAGCAGAAAGAAATCTCGCTTTAGGCAGCATGTCTCATCACATACACGTGTAATTACTGCATCAGAGTCCAGCTATATGTCATTTAAAGCTGTAGTGCTTAACTTTGAAACCACAAAAAATGTACTCTCTAACCTTAAGATCTGCATTTTCAGCAATAGCGTACCAGCCCTTGCTTGGCCTCAATAAGCTCCCAGTATATAAAGATAAAATGTTTTCTTATGAGATGTTTTATTTGTTCACAATATGTTACTTAACCAACATTTTAAACAAGCCAATGCAAATTGCCTGAAAAATCTGACCTTTTGTATAATCAGATCTTGGTAGTAGCATACAATGACCCTCTTGATTCGATCCTGTCCTTTACTTTCAATTGTATAATGTCCACTATACACAAGCAGAAGTGTTTATCCCAGCAAACATTTTTGAGTCAGTTTTGTTGAAATATGTGTTATAGTGTGTGGGTTGAGAGAGTCCTGGTTTGAAGACGAGAGTTTAAAGCCCTCTTTCTAAACTTGTGCTGGCTCATAACACAGTTCAGGGATTACCTCGGAGTTTTCAATAACAACACACTGATGATTGTTACTTAGAAGCAGATTTTCATCATTTTGGTTTTGAAATGCAAGAGACGGCTGAATGATGAGGAGTCACTGCAGACCATATCTCTCGAGCCCAGGCAGGACCATTACTCAAAGGAGACTTCTCATACTAAAACTATTTTTCACTATTGCAACATGGTTCCTCTTGAAAAACTGACCTGGAGTTGGTTTTAGATCCACCCACGCTAATATTAGAAACTTCTGGTAGAAAACCTGTAGCTCTGCCCCTTCTGTCTAAAAGCTCCTGTCTCAGTCCTGCATTAGTATGATGTCATTGTACCACTATGACACAACGCAGCTCACTGCCCATACGTTAGTTTTGGTTTTTGTTTTCTCAGGTGAAATCATGCCCTTTACAATGATCGCATGTCTGTGTTTGCAACTGGTGATTTTCAAATTGGCAACAACAAAACTGTCAAATTCCACACCTCCCTCTGCATTGTGTTTGCATAATTAAGCTGAAAGTATAATTTTAATGGCTAAAGACATGCATAAAAAAAAGAATTATTTTATGTATAATCTTTTATTAGTTCTATATTATAGATACAATATTTGTTTCTCAATAGTCTATCCATTCAAACATAATTTTGTTATTCACAACATAATTGTGAAAACTGAACCTCATATAAGACATTTAATAGCATGTTCTGTCACATTGAACATAAAACTAAGCACAAGAGTCACAAGTGCGTACAGTCTTTGTATGAACAGAAGATTATTCTTTCAGATTATTTTTGTAAATTGTTTTTTTGCAGTTATTTCAGTGAGTTTGGACTTTTTAAATCATGCACTTTACACATCCAGCTCTACTTCTGTAAACACATGTTATTTTGCAACGAGACATCCCAGGTGTACCGTATATTTATTTATAATCATTTTCCATCTCTTATTTTGTCTGTATGTTGTTTTCCTCATCTCCCTTTTATCTCCCTTCCCTTTCTGTCTTCTTCCTCTCTCTGCGCTGTGTCATTGCTCCTTCATTGATCCGACTACATGGCCCTGGTTTGGGTGGAGTCCTGTTATGAGGTTTAATCATTGGCAGCAGGTTTCACAGTCCCGGGACATGAGCCGGAGTTTACCTGTGTCAAACTCTGCTGACTCACCGTTTGGAAGTTTTATAACAAGAGATAGCCTTTATTGCTTCTCTGTACTGGCCTCCAAAGTCGCACACAACAATACGCATGGAATCACAAATTATTAGAATCTTAAAGTACAGAAGGCTACCCTACAACCTTTACTTTCTTTCATGTATTTAGGTGTTATATATATGTTCAAATACAACATAGAAATGACCAGAAACGCAAATCTTTCACATTATACCCAAAATGCAATCAATGCTTTCTAAGTTATGTTTTTTTATTAGTGTATGTTAACTGTGTCACATTCAATGAATATGTAACTATTTGATAAGCGGTTCAAATCACAAATTCAGCATTATGTTTTGGTGATGAGGGCTCGGCCAATATTTCAAACCTTTATATTACATCATCCCATCTGACCAATATGCTACTGTATTGGCATGTTATACCTCATTTGCTAACGTACACTGGAAAACAACCACTCTAAACCAAGAACCCAAAACACAAATTTTAATAGTTCATCAAAACCATACAATATATTTTAAGAGTGGGCTGACAGAGTGCTGATTTCCTTAATAGTGTTTGCCTTAATGCGGAAGAAGTTGATTAGAGCAAGCTCGAACAGAATGTAAAGCTAAATGTATGTAAATGTTGATGGTGGCAATGCCCGAGTAACCAAGCACCAATCAGGATCTGCACTGTTTGGTCTGTTTGGTCTGTTGTTAGCCCACATATTTGGATTCACAAAGATATTATCAAATTATAAACGCTTGGATTTGAGAGAGCGGCAAACCATGGATTTCTAAAGCCCAAAAGGGTGAGTGCATCACAAACAGGTATTAAGCTAGAAGTGTACTTTTCAATGTCAGTCAATAAGAACTAGAGTGAGTTGGAGCAAAATTGAATCCATGAGCACTTCTCTATTGGGCTTCATTGAGCTAGACTGCTAGGGGGTTGATCAGTCTACAATATACGGCTTTCTTTATCTTTGGTCCAGTTCTGTTTCTGTCTAAAGAAAATTGTACTCTCTTACCTACCAAACTTGTGTATTTGTTTTGACGCAAAAGAAGAGCTATAAACAAACCTTTAAAAAATACTTGGTACCAATTATGTGGGCATATTTTTATTGATTGCATATCAGCATCAACCAACCCCCTGTGTATTTGTGGAATGGCCTTTAAAATTGGTCAGTCAAACTTTGAAAAATCATGGAGGAAATCATATGCCTTAGGACTGTATTATCGACTTTCTTTAAAGCATCTTTTTAATGCAAATATTTCTCTCCTCTCTTCTTCAGGCTGACTGGGCCCTCGGGACACCTCACAGATGGACCTGGAAACTACAAATACAAGACAAAATGCACCTGGCTCATCGAGGGAGAGTGAGTTTTAACTACTCGACTCGAAACAATATTTCTCAGATCCGGATCTAGTACAGATTTGTGTAAGAATAAATACGCTGCAAACCCATGTACCATCTCCGGATGCAATGGAAATCAAGGCCCTTATCACCATGGGATTATTTCAGGCCAGGTTAAATGTGTTGCCTGTTTTTACTTGTTGAAAAAGACAAAATGAGTACGTAAAGTGTTTTTTGGTCACCTAAATAGCTAATTATACAGGTGATCATAAATACGTTCTTAATTGAAAGTAAGAGCTTTTTAAATCTCACTACTGTTAATATTTTTGTACACAACTGAGTACATGGGCATTTCAGAAAATTGTCATAAAAACTACGATATTTGAAAAGAGAATGCATTTTTTGGCTGTAAAAGACCTTTTGGACAGCCAGTAGCTCCTCTTAACTGTGATTTGGTCTGTGTGAAGTTTGTGGATGCTGATGAATGGATGTAAAAGCTGAAGTAAGTGAGAAATCCAATACTGCCCTATTCTACTGTTGTAGTCAGCAGCATCTTCGCTCCAAGACATTATCGATTTTGAATGTTTGAAATTCGAGCAATCCTCAGTTCTATAGACGCTTCATTTTTTAAAAACAAATTTAAAGAGATGCAAGAAGATAAACTATGCTGATTATTACTGTAGTGCTTGTGAATCAGCTCACATATTATGCTACAGTTGCTACAATGCTAAAATGAGCAGATGGTCTTAATGAAAGGGAGTGTTGTTTTCTTATGTGATAAATTGTGTTATGTGAGAATGATTGCAATGAATGCTTTAAAATTAAGTATCACAAATACAGAACCATATTTTATTAGTCACAAGTCATGATTTGATGTTATCCTCAAGGCCGTCTGTGACTGCACTCTGTAAATCAAATGCATGCATAATGATTCGATTCATACAGCATCCTGTACGTACGGTTGCTTCTAAATAGACCTTTGTATCTGCGCATTTTTTAAGTTTTTTGCATTTGATTCAAGTGGTTCAAAATAAATGTATCCCTGGCGTCGCATGAATGCTATCCACTTCCTTACTTTTCAGCTCGAAGAAATGACTGTACAATTTCTTTACGGAAGTTTGGTGGTGACATAAGGAATTTACTAGGGATGGGACTTTAATAATGGCCATGTGTATGCGTATGTGTATTTGAGAACCAAACACCTAGGCAGTGGTTGGTCCTCTCTGCACCTGACCCCCATGAAACCCTCTGCAGGAGGCTGAACGTGAACTAATTCTCCTTGATATACAGACAGGAGAATGCCCACCACCTTGTTGACTGCATGAGTAATAAACCATGTGGTCAGAGCACAGCACAAAAAAAATGTCTGCAATCATCCTGTGATAAAGCCCTCCTCTATAAATCTGTCTATTCATGTCCTAAAGTTCATAATCGGGATTAGGTTAGGCGAGGAGACGGTGGTTTATTAATTTCCCATCTCTTGCGCCCTTTTGGTATGCCTTGCTGTGGATTACTTTCATGAGACGGATGACAGCATATATCCAGAAGAGTACTTTTTGGTTCTATAAAGCAGTGTTCTACAACAATGGCACACCTTTTTAATTGAAAACAATCAACAATCACAGCTGAAACTGATACAAAAATGAAACCCTACAGCCTTTATTAACAATGCAGTCATTCTCATCCAATTGGATTATTTAGAAAAATCAAACGAGCAGAGACCAGTCTTTCTAATCTATTTATTAGTTTACTTATTATTTCTAATCTAGCATTATTATCTTTTTACATTATTTTGACCAATTAGGTGGATCATTTCTAATGGTACACAAAGCAACGTCTCAAGGCACACTAAAGTACCACCACACTGATATAAAAAAGTGTCTTACGGTTTGACACGGAATGTGTAATTGTTAACAATTGGTCACACATACTAACTTGCAATAAAGTGTAAAAAAAAGTATTAATAAATGATTACTGTATCTACATGACTGACGGTGAAGGTGCGAACCCCTTCTGAAACTAAAACATATTGCTGCTTTAAGGTGGCAACTTCTGGGCCAATGTTTCTTGAATCTGTTGTTAATTATTCACCTTCACACTTCCAGCTGTGCTGGCTGTGTTAAAGTAATAACTGTGGTTTGCCCTGAGCCCGTGCATGAGTGGGAGGCATGTGTGAGTTTGACTGGACAGATTCAGACTGCGGGACATAAAGTGGCTACTGTTTTAGAAATGAAGATCTAATTGAGAAAGTAGGTCACTTATCAAAAGACATACCCACATGCCTGTGGTGTGCGTAAACACCAGTACGCTGTAAAAATGGGCTTATTAGAATTGGACACATGTTCAACATCCTCTGATGCCAACACTAAGGCTTCAAACTAAGCTTGTATTCTAAAACAAATGTTTTCTTTAAACTTGTCTAACAGAACATTTACTATAGATTTAATGAGGGTGATTTTTGCTTTTAAATAACTTAAAATCTGGGTTTAAGAAGTAACTAGAAGCGCTTAAATATGGACTATTGAGGCAACTGGACATAAAATGAAATATGTACCCCATGTGTCAAGCCTGAGACACTAGTATACAGTTACTAATTTAGATTGCAGATCTAGTTCTACTTTATTTTGCCAATATATCTCTTAACCTCTGCCCTTGATTTTATCATCCATTTTGGTCCATTTTGTTTCCAGGAAAATGTCCTGATGTGTCTGTGTTTTGTATGTTTTGTTTTTAGACCAAACACAATCATTCGACTCCGGTTTAACCACTTTGCCACAGAGTGCAGCTGGGACCACCTCTACGTGTACGACGGAGACTCGATCTATGCCCCTCTACTGGCTGCGTTCAGGTAAACGCTGTGACAATTATCTGGTGTAATTTTATCCTTTTGTGACTTAAAAAAAATCATAATCCAACTATTTTCTTTTATTATGATGATTTAAAGTGAAATTTTAAGTTTTTGAATACATCATGTTGAAACTATAAGACAATGGCTTCAGATAACCACACTTGGATGTACCCCTATAACCACCAAACAAATGTCCATATTTTTGTAAATTATATATTTTTAAATGGATCATATAGAATTAGTTTCTGTTTGTATGGTAATTATCTTAAATCAATCACCACATGTTATAATTGCATTTTTGTTTTTGCTCGGATTTACTCTTACTTTTGGATTACATTTTAACAGGTTCAATACATTTTACAACGACACCGTGTTTTTCTGTGTGTGAAAAAGGAGGTAGGCGTTTCTCAATCTTGCCTCTTCTTGTTTGGTCCTTCTTCATTCTTATCAGTTGAGCTTAATTACTAAAAGAACATTTCTAAACGGCTCTTCCAGGTGTCCTCCTCCTTTATTGTAAATAATGAATATGAATACTGATTTGACAAAGAACTTTATTTTGTACTATCTTTAACTGTATGTAGCTTCTATGAAAACCTTACATACGGTTTCATTAACAAACGGCTCCTGTAACTGACTTTGCTTAACGAGTGGCTGTTTGCTAAATTATAAGCACAGGTAGATGGACCACAGCTATTTATTGTTTGAATTATTAGTATTATTAAATGTTATTTATTTATTTTACAGGGATGATGTGGTCATACATAGTTACAGCGTGATATCCAGAGATCCATTTAATTCTGTAATGCAGCTTACAATGTGGAACTATTATAGCATAGACTTGTTCACTGTGTGATACATAAAGACTTTTTTATTATAAAGTGTTGTGCACAGCTTGTAAAAACTTTAAATAAACCATATCAAATATAGAATATTTTGAGGCAAAGTCTTTTGAACAATATTCCAATTTTAGGTGCGCTTGTGTCCCTGGGGATTTCACACCAGCTAATGATTCTGGCCGCATTCTGGCACCCGTTCCTTATTATAGGCCTATCCTAACATGTATATAATTATAAATCTCCAATTTTCTAATTTTGTCTTTTGCAGTGGTCTGATCGTCCCGGAGCGTTATGGGAATGAGACGGTCCCAGAGGTGGTGTCCCAGTCTGGGTTTGCTCTCCTGCACTTCTTCAGTGACGCAGCCTACAACCTCACTGGATTCAACATCTCATACAGGTCAGAGCTGGATCTAAATGGAGATGGGATTAACCAGACAAAGCAAAAGAGATGGGCAGGTTTAGATTTTGCAGATCCCACACAGAAATTTTGAATTTTGTTATCATTCCAAACATGGAAAGACCGTGTTTATGCATTAGAGATGTACTAGGATCAACATTTCAGTTAATCAGGATCTGTTGATGGTAAAAACAAATTATCTTCTGTCTTTAAACGACAAAAGCATTATTCCATCTTTCTAAACTCTTTCAACATTCATGTGTTCTAGACCTTGTTGTAGACGTAGATTGTCGTAATTTCTCTTTCTAAAATTGTTATATTCTGGCTTACTATTGTGGTCTTTGTTATAAATTGGTCTAATTTTGATCCGTTTATTATCGGAGCTCTTTGGAAACTGATGATGCAGAGAAAAGTGATTATTTTTACATCGTCAGCCTCAGCTTTGACACAGCTGTAGATGTTTTCATATCGGACTACAAACAACTTTATGACAGTTCAGAAGAGCAGGAGGAACTATGGGTTGAGATTGGGGATGTTTTGATACCGATATCGGAAAATGCTACTTTTTCAGGTATTGCTATCAGCAAAATGATTTGATCACATTATGACTCTGGTATCTGCACCACCGAGGCCAAGTAATGGTGTCGAATGAAAACAAACATGGTATCAGAGCATCCCTGGTTGAGAAGAGACATTTCTCTGGTATACAACTTAATAATTCCAACAATCTTGTTTTGAATATATTCAAGGAATGCTGTAATATATTTCATTAACCTGGTTGCTGAAGGATATTTGTAAACAAAGTGCATTGGTCAGATAGTTTTTCGTGTACTTTTTCCTTATAAAACTGTTCTGGTGTTGGTTCATCTTTGTTTTTTGTAAAAAGCACCTCCATTCTTATGTTGGGTGCGCAAACCAGATTTTTACACTGGCTTAAACACTTACTTGGCCGAGAGTTTAATTTAGGGCGCATGTGTATGAGAGAACCTGGGTATAAACAAAGTGCATTTACGCAACATGATAAAAAAAAAAAAAACCCTTGCTTTAAAAACCTTTTATGTATTCAAAATGCGAAAGTGCAGCTTGTCCTTGCCAAACATCTGCAGAGGCCACAATAGACCACAAAAAACCAGGCGAGTAGCCCGGTTTTTTGTCCTGTTGTCATAGTAACAGGTTTGAAGTTGGGCTGAGAAAAGGCGTAGTGAAATAAAGGAGAGTGCCCTGGGTTGCCGTCTTTGGTCTGCGAGCATCAAAACCCCTCACCAGGACAACAAAAAAGAGACCATGGCCTTTTGTAGAAAAGTACTTTTTAGACAGGGATGGCTGGATGAGGGTGAGCTACTCTTCTTGGCACTATTCTTGTTTTCTCAAATATTTTCTCAAAAACTGAATTCTTGTATTTGTTGATAGACAATATTTGCTGTTGGACTGAATAGGGGAAGAGGTTGTCAAAAGTATTTTAAATCAAATATTGATAAAACGGTGTACAAACTACCAATACAGTCATTTATTTAGTTGTTCAGGCTTTTGCGTTTTGCTGTTTTTTTTGTTTTATTTTATTTAATTTTTTAATGTTTTTTTTTTTTTTGGCCTTTAAAAATGTGTGTCTAATTTATATAATATCTGTTTTTTTATACTATGTGAAGCGCTTTGTGACCCTGGTCTGTGAAGGGGTTTGTTTACTTACTTACTTACTTACAATACTAACAGTACCAATACTGAAAACCTTTTTACTACTTTATTAGAAAAAAACATATGGCATTCAGCTACCTCTCTCAGTAGCAAAAGTGTGACCTTTTATAATGACTGTAGGCATGTGAATCATAAAATCTGTAATTTTCATTATAAAAAAATATTATATTCCTGAGTATTGAAATGGAGATTGTAGTGTCCTGATAACACTAGAAGAGATCAGAAAAAAACAGATCATATTAGTTAGACTTGAATTGCAGAAGGACCTTTTTCACGTTTTCTTTTTACATTTTAGGGCATTTTCAGTTCAGACATTACTGAATTTTGCAAACACTTAATAATAATAGATATTTATTTGGTTATTTTTACCCACTGTTGTCTTGGCTGGTTCAGAGCTTATTCAAGCACTTTAGACAGCTTTAGGCTCCGGGCTCAGAGCGCCACACGCCAAAGAAGCAGATGGCCCCTTCTCCAAAACACAACGAAACACACCTGATGCTCACACTATCCCAACAGGTTACTATATATATATGTGCGTGTGTGTGTGCGCGTGTGTGTGTGTGGGTGTGTGTGTAATCCTTACAGGCGGCACACCTGCTTTTCTTTTTTTTTTTTTTTTTAGCTATTTCCATTTATGGTATATGTAAATGGTTTGGCTCACTAACTTATTCAGTTAGTGAAAGGGAACATACCTCACAGAAAGCCTTGAGTCTATCTTCCATAATAAAAATAAATCAATATAATTTTATCTAATTTTTTTTCTTTTAAATATGGTAACTTGAGCACCATCCTCTCCTGTTACACTATTTTTGTAGACAATTTTTTTAGTTGCGTAGTGTGCAAGCAAATAAACATTTGTATCCAGCAACAGTCCTGCACCTTTTTGAGGGATTTTTTTTGCCAACCCTTACGCCTAATACATGCATTTTTATGTACAGCAGCTTTGAATCATAAAAAGTGAATATTTAGTGATGCATGTTTTCTCAAATTCTCTCGTGTGATTTATAATGTATTCTGTCGCACAACCGTGAACGCATGCTTTGATGAATCGTGGTTGTTATCCTCAAGCTATTAATAAATCCCTGTCTTTTCTCTCTCAGGGTGAACACCTGTCCCAATAACTGCTCGGGTCACGGGGAGTGTCGTCTGGGGAACTCCACTGGTGCAGTGTTTTGTGAATGTGAAGAGAACTGGAAGGGCGAGGCCTGTGACGTCCCGTACTGTGAAGCCGACTGCGGTGCCCCCGATCGAGGGCAGTGCAAAGGCAAAGGCTGCATCTGCAACACCGGATGGCAAGGTTTGTGTGTGTGTGTGTGTCTGTGTCTGTGTGTACACTAGCTGACTCATAATAATCATTGTCATTTTATTTTGGATATTTACTTCTGAACAATAACATAATAGACTAACATAAACAGGAACAGAATGTCTTCATAATAATCCAATTGGAAGCAGTGGCGTTTTTTGGTCTGTCTTTTCCCCCTCAAACATGTCATTTGTAAAATATTTTTGAATTTAAGGGATTTTCTTTTGTGTGACATCAAAATTTACTTTCTTACCATAAACGCAAGCTCTTGAAGGACCCTTTCTATCTGCACATCAACCTGGCTTGCCACAAAAGTGTCTCTACTTTTTAACTACAGCTACAAGTTTTATGATTTATGTTAGTGAATTTAGTAGTCAATTTTAGGATTCCACATTTTTGTGTGTTTCACTTCCCTTTTCAAAAGGGAAAAAACTGGCATCTTTAGTGTGGTGTTTAGAAAAGTAGGTTTAGAAAAATACAAGAAAAATAGATTATTTTTCAGCAATGCAGCAAATGCTTTTATCACAGCACTGTATTGTACTGGATATTTCTAAATTTGTGGTAGCAGCGCTGTAGTGGAAATGGCATCTACATATGTATAGCCTGTACATTTTGAAAGTAGGATTTACCTAAACAAAGTGGACTTGGCTCATTTTTGGCACGTCTATTCTTCTTGTTGATTTTTGTGAACATCCGTGCCCGTTTCTGCTCAGCTCTGTGTTCATCTGGGTGCATTGTCTCATTCTATCAGGCAGGATGAAGCAGGTCTATACATGCCAAAACTCTGCTAGAACTGGCACTACTCCCAAAAAGGATAATCCCCTCCGCCACTCGCCAATTCCATGAGCTAAATCACAAATGGAAGTTCAATTATTTATTAATGCTGATTTTTGTTGTCGCACAAAGTTAAAGGCACACCGCGGACTTTGTGACCTAAAGAGTTGACACATATGAGTTATTTTATATGAATACTTGGGCCAATATACAGCGCTTGACACTTGCAATGCTCCGAGCGGGCCTGCCCTCTTGAAATACCGCCCATGTAAGTTTCGAGCAGACGGACCGTCTGCCACCAGGTCACGTGACTTGGAAGAAAGACTTGCTTTACGGCTACAGGCGCTGATATACTCATGGAGCTAAAGCTTTTGCTACTCATTTTTCACCTGCTCGACTCCTGGTCATGGCTGAGGCAAGGAAAAAGTTTAAACCTTCGGAGGAGGCTAAAAAGAGGAAACGCGAAAGGGATCGTGCTGTAAGCTGCATGTCTGTATGAGCGCTGCTCTTCACCTGGTTCCTGGATGTCATCGACTGCAAAGATGTCATTCCACGCAGCACGAGCTAGACGCAGAACTCCCTCATCCAGGATATAGAAGTCCATGTGTGGTAGATTACTAATGCAGCGGTCTGGAGGCTGACCACAGCAGAGTCTCTCAATATCTGTAGGCATGTCTCTACAGTTTGAACACACACACCAGTGCATGCTGTCTGAATACACACTCAAAAGACACCGGCTGACTTTTTGTTGACTTTTGCGACAGTGCTGAGTTGCTTGTGGCCACTAGGGGCGCTAAACGTGAAAGTTGCAGGTCTAGCGCCCCTAGTGGCCAAGAGTTACACGGTGTGCCTTTAAATGGGGGATTGCAATTTTCATATTTTATGACTTTGGATAGAATGTTTGAGCAATACCAAGTAATGTATTGACACTGTTTTAATTATTAAGCATACTGCGATTTGAAAAGGAACACAGAGCAATCAATTCTTCAAATGTCCCAGTCACAGCGCTGTTTTACCCCAGTTAAAAATGTACGTAAATACCCATACCCATAATAGAACTTCCTAGCTTTCCTACTGCCATCATTATGACTTTTTCAATACCACTCTGAGCTGACTTCTCTTAAGAGTACAAAGTATATTATTTCACTATTGTGCAGCCAATGTCCCCCTCTGTCCCTCTGAATGGGCTCATTTTTAATTGGCTTTATTAGTCTTGCACTGCTTCACACAGAGTTCCTGTTCACTTAAATGGTGTCTCCACTGCCTGAGTTTAGGAGCAGCGCAAGTCTCCACTCTTCTCTATTAACTACTTTTAAGTCTGGAGGAAGTGTATCCGGAACACTAAGGAACTGGCCAATTATGTTGAAGAATTATAATTTTAAATAGCTCTGGCAGCTCGGGCAGTGCGATGTAAAGTGTACCAAATGTGATATTGAATTGAAGTAAATTATAGTAAAAAATATGGAGATGTAAAACTGTTTAAAACGTCTCATTTGGGCAGATATTGTTGGGAGCCCTAAAGGAAAAAAGCTAATGGCCTTTTTTGTTTCAGAGGATTGCAGTCCTTCCTGTGGTATTGTTTGGTGTACAGTTTATGGGAAACTGCCAACTGTTACTTCGTAATAATAGATTTTTATTTATAACGCACCTTATATGCAAACACATCTCAAAGTGCTACAGCAAGTTAAAAAAACCAGCAGAATAAAAAAAACTTACAAATATAAAAATGCTTAAAAAGACTTGAGCTGCAGATCAGCCGTAGGCATTCACGATGTGTCAATAATAAATAGTATACTGCTTTAAAGATATGTTCAATGCTATCTTCCAATGTAAGACATTTCCATACACATCCACACATTCTTGGACTTCAATACTGATTACCAATATGAACAAAATGGCATTTGTAAGCGAAGACCTGATAAATGTTATTTCACCTTCATTTCTTCCCAGGACTGTTCATTTAATCTGGTAATTGAAAATGCATCCATCCATCCATCCATCCATTTTCTTCCGCTTCATCCGTTGCCGGGTCGCGGGGGCAGCAGTCTAAGCAGAGACGCCCAGACTTCCCTATCCACACACACCACCTCCAGCTCGTCCGGGGGGACTCCAAGGCGTTCCCAGGCCAGCTGAGAGACATAGTCCCTCCAGCGTGTCCTGGGTCTTCCCCGGGGCCTCCTCCCGGTGGGACATGCCCGGAACACCTCCCCAGGGAGGCGTCCAGGAGGCATCCGGAACAGATGCCCGAGCCACCTCAACTGGTTCCTCTCGACGTGGAGTAGCAGCGGTTCTACTCCGAGCTCCTCCCGTGTGACTGAGCTCCTCACCCTATCTCTAAGGGAGCGCCCAGCCACTCTGCGGAGGAAGCTCATTTCGACCGCTTGTATCCGCGATCTTGTTCTTTCGGTCATTACCCAAAGCTCATGACCATAGGTGAGGGAGGGAACGAAGATTGACCGGTAAATTGAGAGCTTTGCCTTTCGGCTCAGCTCCCTCTTTACCACAACGGTCCGATACAGCGACCGCATCACTGCGCACGCTGCACCGATCCGCCTGTCAATCTCACGCTCCATCCTTCCCTCACTCGTGAACAAGACCCCGAGATACTTGAACTCCTCCACTTGAGGAAGGGCCTCTCCACCCACCCGGAGAGGGCAAGGCACTTTTTTCCGGAAAATGCACTTCAGTTTATTTTACTTGGTTGGGGCATTTAACAGAAGTCTTAATAAGAGTATGGTGTACTTTAAATTGTTTTAATTTACTTGACCACTTTCTAGTTAATTCTATGGCAAAGTGACAACCAAGTCTTGTAGTCCTGAACATAATCCAGAGGTCTTCATGATCCAAAGAAGACCTCCCAGTGTCATGTTATTATCCAAAGGAATGTTTTATTTGTGTGTGCTATTCTGGTCTAGGTCCAGACTGCTCAGTGTCGGTCCCAGCTAACTCATCCTTTTGGACCAGAGAAGAGTACTCAGACCCGGGGCTGGCCAGAGTGTCCCATAAGGCCGTGGTGGACCAGGGAATCATGTGGGTCATTGGAGGATACGTCTTCAACGCAACGGACTACCACATGGTCAAGGCGTACGTTTTTATTACTTGTTTCTTACTGCATATGTATTCATATGTTTGTTTTCCCTCCATAACTGTATGTGATAGTAGACAGCAATTAGACATAGTGGAACAAAACAATCAAATGATAGATCACATAACTTGTTTTTTTTTAAAAGTCCATTATTAAGACCTGAAATAAAGTTTCTTGTGTAGAATTCCTCAAAAACTGCAGTGGTCTGTTTAGCAGACCTTGTATTAGTCAGTGACAACATTTTTGGTGAAGGAACAGGATTGTGACGCTGATAGCAATGTTTGGCTTGATTAGTTTGACATGTTTATAAAACTAGATTTAACTGTGCTGCGGATAACATCAACATGTTCATAAAACTTATTCAGACTGCACAAAGTCAAATATATAATTAAAGTCTGAAATGACAGACTGAGCATCTGCTCTCAAGATCAACGTCTCACTGCTGGTGTTTATGAAGCTGCTGACAGTTCAAGGCTCAGATATTTTAATCCAGAATTCAGTTCACATGTGTGCTGTTAAAAAGCAGTTTTATTCACCAAGGGCAACTAAATATTTAAACAGCTTAGTCGTTCCCTGCATACCAAAGATATATTTTGGAACTTGGACTGTAAATGGATGTTCACTTCTTTAGTCTGTAGTCAGGCATGTAGTCAGGCACAGTTTAAGTATTTTTGATATTTTCATTTGAAAGCCTTGTCTATTTGAAAACGGGTCAAACATGAATACTAAGCCAAATTTGTCCACGCATATGTGGTCTGTCCAAAGAAAAAAAAAGTCTAGAGAACATCAGTGGATTCTAATCGCCCACGTATTTCCTTTGTATGTTTTTTGTAGATATAACCTTAGCAGCATGAGGTGGCTGACCCTTGATCCCTCCGTCAACACAGTCGCGCCTCGATACGGGCACTCTTTGGCTCTACACGAGGTAAAATTATCATCTCTAAAAACATTCAGAACACACCCTCCAAACAGTACATCCTGGACACTGCACTCTGCTGCTGCTCTATTTATAACTCACATCCAGTGTCTGTTCTGCCTTTAGTTTATTATGGGAGACATAAAGATAGGAGACATGGAGAAAGATCGATCTACTTGCAGAAACATTTTCAACTCCAGTGCTTTAAATCTCATATTGAAACGTGTGGCTTTTCGATTTGCTGGAGTGAGTGGTGAAAAGCTCTCTGATAGAATTATAAATGAAGAATGAGGGAAAGCTGTCTGCGCTGTGGTCGAAGCTGCTGTCGTTCTGGAATGAACAAATCACATCAGTCTGAGCCAAGAGCTTATCTAAATAATCGTGAATGTAATCAGAAGTGATGCAATATGGACAAAAAGAGAATGTACTAGTCTTGTCCTTCAAGTTCTGATGAGAAGATTTCAAAATAATATGAAACCCCTGTGCAGACAAAGTCATAATACAAGCAACTGAAGTGTGTGTTTGTAATTGGGGTGAATGGCATTGACAAAAACAAATTGTATGTTGTGGGGAGTACACGATAACAATTTGCAATGTGTCCAAATGTGCCCCCAAAAGCATTACAATGTTGATTAAGAATTACCCACTGATTGAGCAATTCGTTGTAGTTCCTACGTATTAAGAACTGCTCAAACCAAACAGATTCCTGCATTCTCTGTTAGCCTCAGAGGGAAGAGGCTTTTGTCTGCTCTTAAACTTAAGCAGAGCACAGGAAATGTCAAGTAGTTAACTTTGTCTGGGGAATAAACATGTATTCTCTTTGACAAATCATTTTGCGTATTGTTTGTAAATGAGAATTGGTGAATTTGCGAGTAAATACAAATGACCTCAACCATTTTTCTGACAAAAAGTGGAAGCTGCAAATGCACTAAAACTCAGCTACGCCATTTCTGTTTATTTGACATATCGCAATTCACAATTTAATTTGATTTATATTTTAGGGTAAGATCTACATGTTTGGAGGGAAGATTGACTCCACTGGGAACGTATCCAGTCAGCTCTGGGTCTTCCACATCCAGAACCAGACCTGGGTCCTGCTTAACCCTCGGGCCAAGGATCAGTACGCTGTGGTGGGACACTCCGCCCACATGGTGCCTCCCCTCATTGAGGGCGACAGTCCTGTGATGCTCGTCATGTTTGGACACTGTCCTCTGTACGGATACATCAGCCAAGTGCAGGAGTATAACATCGGTGAGTCTCTCAAAGCGTGACTAATGTGTCTGCACATTTTTAACTTCTCCCAGAGCTGCTGTTTTCTAATTTATTTAATGAGATGCACGTTTGTTACATGAGCTAAAGCTTTTTTTTTGGATATGAGATGAGATTCAGAAATATCCCACTCACTTCTTTTTTTATCTTTCAGCTAATGTTTTATTTTCATAAATCCCAAGACGATGTCTAAAACCAGGCGTACCTTTGTAATATAAAACACCTTCCTCACAAATAGAACATCATGAGTTCAAGGCAGTAAACAGTTTCCGCACACTATAGGTAAACGTCCTGACCAAGCATCACTGCCTCCACACCTGCTTCAGACATCATGCCCTCGTGGCGTTCAGGATGGGTCAAATGCAAAGGACAAATTAAGAAATGAACTGAACACTTTATTTTTCCTGGTTGGGAACTTTGTCCTCTGCAGTTGACCCATCCTGCAAATGCCACTAGAGCCTCTGTCAGGTTGATGCCCAGCTTGGTCAGGACTAGAGTTTCGTTTGGGCCTGAAAAATGAAGCCCGACCCGGCCCGAGCCCGCTAATGTTAAGCCCGAGCCCGTATAAGCCCGACCAATGAACGCTGTATAACAGGCCCGAGCCCGACACATCTGATTTCCTTGTTGTACGCACTCACCTTCCAATTGCAAGTTTAGTCTCCACTTTTGAATTTGTTTTGTCTCCACTTGATCCATTTCTACTATTGTTCCTGTTCGCTGTTGACCACAGCATGCAGCAGGAGACACGGGGATGATGCGTTCACGGCTCGCTGCTGCTGTAGGACACGCTGGTTATGGTGTCATTAATATATTAACTTTTTTAATAACTTGTTGTCAATCAACGGCCATTGTTATTAAAATATATATATATATCATTATGTATAAAAATCATTTAAAAATAATTATAATAATAATAAAAAAGAAACATATATTTAAAAAAAGAAGCCCGAGCCCGGCACGAACTCAGGTCGGGCCTCGGGCCTGCTCGGGCTGAAAAGCGAAACTCTAGTCAGGACTACGCGAGCTAGAAGATTTGACCTATTGTAATTGGTTTTAGTGGTAGTGGAAACGTGTGCACCAGGAGGAAACCTCCGTAGACATTTATTTGTTAAACTGTGCGTCTGCAGGGATGAACACATGGAGTGTAGTGTCCACTGACGGTGCCCTGGTGCAGGGCGGATACGGCCACAGCTCTGTGTTTGACCCTGGGACCAGAGCCATCTACATCCATGGAGGATACAAGGCCTTCAGTGCCAACAAATACGGCCTGGCTGGAGACCTGTACAAGTTTGATGTGGACAAGAGAAAGTGGTATGAAATGTTCTGAAACTCCATTCTATTGTTTTCCTTTTATATACTATAATAGCAAGGGATTTAATAAAAAAGCAATATTTTTGAGAAAAGGCAGCCAAACAACAATTAAAACTTTGAATAAAATGTATAATATGCTAATATAAAAGTAAAAAACAATTGTTGATTATGAAAACTTTAAATTTGCATTGACTTTTATGAGCATATCTTTTGAGACATTTATGACCTGTATTGCTTTTTACATACACAAAAAATTTACAAGTGTGGGTGATCACTCCTTTTTAGTTCATCCATCATCTGATTACAAAGTACTTTATTACGCCATTGTTTATGTTGATGTATAATACAGTATATTAGATACTATTTCACTGGTGGCTCGAATGTTAATAGATGAGATGGTTCACTATTAAAATACCGACCGTGTGTAAAACAAGTTAACATTTTTCTCATGTTTATCTTTTTGGGTGTGTGTTTTGTGTGCACGTAAGAAATATACAGTAATAAAAGCCAAATATTAACCATCAGTACTCGAGCGCACCCTTTGCTTTTCTCCTCATGCAGTTAGTCTCCTCCATTATTAGTGTTAAAAACTATTGTATCTATGTGCTAAGTATGAATAGCTACAAAATAATTATGAAAACTGTTGCACTTTATCATTCTGCACTTTATGAACGCAACTGGCACTTTTCATCTGCACTTTTACTATATATTGCATGTTTATTGTCTATGTTTTGTATTGTAATTAACTCTGCTATGTATTTTAATTGTATTTTTGATTGTATAAGGACTACAGATGGAAATTAGCATTGTGCTAAATCTGGGGCAGCCATCTTTTTAATGTACCTGTCCGTTGTCCTTTTAAATAAATAACTAAACTAACTAAACTAAGCTCACAAAGATACTAAAATGAACCCTCAGAACTCCTTCTGAACCACGTCATTTAGAGGATTGGACAGTTTTCCCCCTTTTTCACACCTTACCCCTAAAACCCCCTCTGCCTTAAAAAAGGAGGGGGAAGCAATGAGGCATTAGATTACTATGTTATCTAAAAAGTAATCTAGTTACTGTCCACAAAGCATAATCAGAGGTCATTTTGAAACATTTGCTATGTGATCCCTAACTTTGCATGTGTGTTTTGTAGGATGATCCTGAGAGACAGTGGCTTCTTCCGATACCTGCACACAGCAGAGATTGTGAGTGGGACGATGCTGGTGTTTGGTGGGAACACTCACAACGACACGTCCATGAGCCATGGAGCCAAGTGCTTCTCCTCAGACTTCCTTTCTTACAACCTGGGTAAGACGCCACATGTCCAACACAATATGCCACAGCTGAGAGACATGATTTTAAAACTACTGTTATATCAACTGCAACCAATATTCTCAAACAGTTACATTATTTATCTACATTATTTACTCTTACATTTTGAAAAAGAGAACATTTTTAGCAGTATTATAGAGTAGGGTAGTCTAAAAGCTACCTTGCTCACTTTTCAAAATGAAAAGTTCTTGACTGACAGGCAAAATCTCACCCAATTGATTTAGCTATTTTACTATTCCCCTCTCATGAATCTACTATTGATTTATTTTGAAACTATACTTGTATACATTATTAATAGACAGATTATCAACCTATGTCACTCAATTGTGCATGCCGTTTGCTCGAAGGAAACAGGAACCAAGTCTGTGCTGTCGGCTGTACAACCCGGTTTGACAAAATCAATGGATCTTGTCAGTTTTTACTGGATGTCCAGCCGGAGTTTGGGTCATTGCGTTTCATCATTTATCCATGCATCTACCACCAATGCACATGAATCAAATTGCCTTAATGCCTTGTTTTAACAATTTAATACATTTATAAATGTTCACATCACTTTAAAGCCAATACTGATTCTAACTTGATCTAAAATATCGTTATGCAATAAGGGGAAACACATTTGTTACTACTAGATTGTTAACTAACTTGAATATACTGTACCTCCTTATACATTTGAGGTTATGATGTATCTAAATGGCTATGAATTCTTTTAAGGTGTTAATTTTACAATTCAATAATATGTCAGTATCAACTATTAAAGTTTGTAATAGTTAAAGGACAATCAACACATAAGGCTGATATTTTCCAACCTGTTAGAAATTAGAAATGAGAATGAAATTAGAATGAGAGTCAAGAATTAATCTTGACTATGATAAAAAACACATTTACATAGAATTTGTTTTTCATAAATAAAATATAGAGTAAATGTCTCTCCTTCGGTTTGATGCCTTTTCCCAATGAGCCCTCCAGCCTCACACACTGGGATGTTTTGTATTTACTGTCCCACAGCAGGACAGTGGCAGGGAAGTGTTCATGTGTGGAGCTTAACCAATGTTCACCTCAAAATCATAAGCTCAGGTCTAAAGAAGTGCAGAGGATATATTTCAGATGGAAAATGCATAATGACTTTTACTATAGCTTTCTGCAGGGTTTGATATACTGTACCTTACATAATATATACGCAAAGAAATGGCTCCATCTAGAGGAAATTGCAATCAATTGAATTAAATAGATCGAAGCCCGAAAGTGGCTACAGAATATATTTTTCTGTTGTTCGCTATCCTGTAGCATTTGGATATTGTGGTAGAAACCAAAAATAAATCCAAACTCTTGCTTTCTATTAACTTTAAATCATACCTTTCTCTAAAATGTACTATATATTTAAAGTGTTTTCCCTGTATGTATGTTTAATGTGTCAATAATCACAATGACGTCTTTCAAAACCATGCAGGCATTTAATCCATACAGTGATAATAAGTATTATTGTAGTTGCAATAATACTTTTTTTTAGCATGTCATACTAAAATAGCTTGAGATATGAAATTAGTATGTTGGATTCAGCATTTACCAGTTTGCAGTTACCGGTTTGTATCTAGTTTAAGTTTCAGTTGCATTAAAAAGTGGATTGAAAAGCTGAAGTTAGTATAAAATGTCATCCTAAACAACAATGTACCTTTGTATATCTGATTGGTATTCCAAAATCCTGTATTACACAGATAATCTGGCATCATCATATGATACTTATGGTTACGATATGATAGCTGTCCAGGTCACTCTTGAAAAAGAGATTATTAATCTCAATGAGGTTCTCTTGGTTAAAGAAAATTTACTTTCCCAAATGAATTTCAATACAATTTTTTTGATAACCCACAATGGAACCCACAAGGATTATCCTATGGCCAAATGGTACCCAGTCTGGCACAGTCAGAGCTGGTGGTCAAGAAGCCAGTCAGTGTGTCATATTGTCATATTGAAATATCTGTGGCAATTTCTGATAGCGCAAGCAGAGTTGTTGATGTGATTCCACATGATGGTTTATTTATCTGTCTGCAATCCCAGAATGTGAGATAAATTGATCTAAATCTGTTTAGACAAAAAATAGAATTTCCAAACAGGACTGGTTACACATGAGTTTTCTGGAAGCTTTGTGCATGTAAACAAAAATGGCAGATGCAACCCAATTGTGAATTGACTCGATCAAGCAAAAAACAAACAGTATATGATGTCTACCATGGTAGCAAAATATCTATTTAATGTTGAGATTCCCTTTCCTCCTCATGAGATTATAACTTTCTAGTTTGTATTCATTTCTGTTTATGTAAAAGTATTCCTTATCAGCTCTGACCTAGTTTTAATCTGTGTTGTCTTGTAATTGTAGTAATTGAGTAGTTGATTCCCCTTCTTCAGCTGCGCTTCTGTCCCCTGTCAAAGTGCTGTAATTGTGTGGTAATTACAGTCCAGATTGAGCCACAAAAAGGAGGCTAATTGCCCCTTCTAACAAGATGAACTCAATTACAGAATTTAGGAGCTGTCCACTGTCCTGACACTCTTGAATAAGCTGGTTAGGTTCAAGTTTGAGCCACAAGAGGGCACTGTCGATCTTTATATGAATGAAATGCTTGGCTGCCGCTGCTGTGGGAGACAGTGATGACTTGCACTGCATTGTGGGATGTGAAGGTGATGTACTGCAGTGATGGCGCTTTGACTTTCACACTTAACTCTCAGTGTTTTGTGCTCAACCACAAGTTAAAATAGGTGTAGAAAAGACTAGAAAGACGTCATGCCTGTGTGTTTAACACTTCAATATAACAGCTCAACTTGTTATTTTTGTGTGATTTATCAGTGTGCCTTTGCACTGCTTGTCCCCAGGTGGGAGATCAACAAAGCACACAATTTTTATTTTATTTTCAAGACAAAAGTAATGTGAAGTTGCAATCAAAAGATGGCTTCACTCGCTTTAGCACCAAGCTAATTGTCATCTGTAGTCCTTCACTTCTAATCATAACTTTGTCCCTCACTTATCAACACTCCAGAGTTGTCCGAGCTGTAGTGCTACTTTATGTGAAATCACTTTATCTTGTGTAGATTTAGTCCACTCCACTGACTCTGCACATTCCCCCTGAAACAAATACATTTGTTTTAACCAGTACATCACATCTTTGTCACTTAATTACTTCTGAGTCTACAAAGCAGATGCTTGGCAGAAGAAAGTAATGACATGATCACTTTTTCAGAGTTGAAAATATACACGCCATGCAAATTTCTTTTGTTGATTTATTAATCTGATGTGTGAATAATAGATAAAAAAAAATGGGTTAGGGTTAGGTTAGGGTAACCCAATACATTTTAGAACAATAAAACCATACTTTGTAAATAAGAACAATGTATTTGGGGGATCCAATTAAACTAATATATTTTTCATTAACGCATAAAAAAAATTAACGCTTTAACGCATGTCTGAATGACCCGCCCATGTATAATAATCACTCAGAATGCCGCGGACACATGCCTGTGTTAGATTGCAACAAAGCAGGTCTCTGGGAATTCAAGTTTTAAAAGAATACGCGCGTGACCGCGAGGCTGTTGTTTGCTTTGAACTGAAGTCCGCCTCCTCCGCAGCCGCTCTGGTTGTTCTTAGCGGCTGTGAGCCACTAACAACAACACGATGAATGGCGCCGCGGTAACGTGCTCATATAAGACCATACACACACAGAACCTGTGCGTAACCTGTGCATAACTTGTGCGTAACCTGTGCACGCAAATACACTGCTGAAACTGAACTGTGGAGCCTCAGGGAGTGTCCGTGTCTCCTCCGTGTCTACCCCTGAAACGCCACCAAAACTTGCTAAATTAAAGCTGGGGTGCGTAAATTTTCCCGTTCATGTTGGTTGTGCCAAAAGTAAAAGGTTGTGAGCAAATCAAACAGATTTAAGTACATTTGGTATGAATGGCATGTGTCATTGCATCTGATGATCTCATTAAACTTCAATTGATGTGGAGTTAAGAATGCGATTAATTGTAGTTAACTCATCAATATTATGCGATTAATTAACAAACAAAAATGTAATCGTTTGACAGCCCTATTCTATTATGAAAATGAATTGATATTAAAAATACAGTTTTTTTTTTTTTTTTAGTCACATTTGACCCTTGACCTGTGTCCTTGCAGCTTGTGACGAGTGGAGCGTCCTGCCTCGGCCAGATCTGTTAAACGACATCAATCGCTTTGGACACTCTGCGGTCTTCAATGAAGGGTATGTGTCCCATTAATAAACTTTGTATAGAACCAGAACTAATTCACACAATTCTGCCTTCATTACAACTGGTTTAGCTTAACTCCGGTATGTATTTCTGTACCATTTAAAAAGAGGTGCAGATGAGCAATCAAAAACTGTAGTGCTTGTGCTTTAGCAAAAAGGTCAGAGGGTTTTATTCCACGTCCAGAGGGCCCATTCTGTGTGGAGTTTGCATGTTCTCCCTGTGTCTGTGTAGGTTTGTTTCAAGTGTTCCGGGTACACCAGTTTCCCCAACCACTAAAGACCGTCCTTCGTAACACCCCCCTTGACTCCAATCCTGTCCTCCCTGTCTGGGGCCAGGACTCTCCTTTAAAGAGATTCTGAAATCTGTCAGGCTTTCCTGCTTAAAGAAAAGTCAATAAATTAATAAATAAAATGTTAAAAAATGTTTTAATTTTGCCCGTGTTGGCACATTGGTAATGCTGCATGAGCTTCTAGGACAATTTATACCACTTTTATATTTTTATTATTTTTGTTGTTGATTTTATTTGACCTCTTAACTCTCGTCTGTTTCACATCAAACATCAGAACTTTGGCCTCACCTAAAGGGTTAATATAATAGTTTATTTGAGAACCTATACTTGACTGCACTTGGCAAAGCTATACATGTATTATTTCCTCTCTATGATAAAAATACCCTTCACTTGCAGAACTCAGTCGGCTCCATTTGGTGGAGAATTGCTCCCTGGACAGTAATGCCTATAATGGCTGTCTGAAGTCAGGAATTTAAGCGTTTTTAGGAGAGTTGTGAGTTTTTCAGTATGTGGATAATACTGACAATAGGAGTTTTTAAATTGCGAACTGTCTTTTTCAAAATCAAATCACCGTCAATGCTGTCCATAAAAATACTTTGCTTAATGGGATGAAGATGGTCTATTTCGTTGTCATTTTTATATGGCTGGTCCCATTCAGTCTTGCCGTGGTAATTTAGGAGAAACCTTTTTAGTAGATTTCTGCAGTCGACTATCTCTAGTGGTTATTGCAGTTTAAATCATATTCATCGGACACAACAGGATATTAAAGCAGTTTGACTTCATTTAGATAAACACAATGACTTTAAAATGCTCTCATAAAACATGTACTTAATCTCATTTTCTGCAGGGGAATGAATGACCTACCTGATAAAATGTTGAAAAGCAATCCACATTTATTCAGTCAATTTGTTCAAAGTCTGCCTACCGCTACTTCAATTGCTGCTACCTCTGCTTCCAGTGCTACCTGCTGCTGCTGCTACCATTACTGCTATTAGTCTTTCTAAGTGCTGCTCCAACTGCATTCTATTACTACTGCTACTCGTGTTACTACTACCACTATTACTACTAGTAATTGTCAGAGAGAGACAGGCCTCCTCTCTGACAATGTTAAAAACCAGGTTAAAAACGGTGCTGTTTGGCTGTGCATACAACTGAGGGATTTTATATTTTTATCTTTCGTTTTAATGTTCTGTTATTATTTATGATTTTAATGCTATCTTGTTCAGCACTTTGAGTTGCCTTGTGTATGAATTGTGCTATACAAATAAACTTGCCTTGCCTTGCCTTACTATAACTATATTGCTTCTTCTACCCCTGCTGTTATAATTTCAAATACTATTGCTATAGCATTACTACTACTACTTCTACTACTATTGCTGTCACTTCCACTGTTTATGATTAAAGGCGCACTTAAATGATTAATTAGGAAAAAATTAGGAAAAAAAATATGGACCACATTTCACAAAATTTGATTTTCTAAACACATTTGTTTTATGGTTTTGTTATATAAATATTTTAGTGAATTAACACCAAATAGTTACAGGTGTAAGTTATTAACTAATAGTCATCTCTGGATTCAAATACAGGCCATAATGGTCTGTTGGCACACAGGTCAGCTGATAGATGGAGACGTGTTTCTACATGTCTTTGACCTCATCTGGGTCATAGAACAATATGTCAGGTCAAATCAGATTATTACAAGTATCAGTGTTATATCAGCGTCAGAAAGCGTAGAGAGAAGCCTTGAGCAACACATATCAATGTTGACTTCATTTATGTAATATCTAGAGTAGATATGTGTTTGTTTACTCTGGTCTATTTAATGTCCAGTCATTTCCTCATTTGGGGCAGTTGGTTTCAGACGGCTGCCTGGTGGTATTGGTATCGGTTCTGTTATGTGCACATTTACTAATGAATAAACTCACACTTTGATTGTTTTACAGCTCTTGGTTGTTTACATTATTTTTGCTCTCTGTCTGTGCAGAATTTCCACAACAATTAGATTTTTATTTTTTACAGGGACAGCGTAAAATAAGCTATAGCTAAAAGGAGAGATGCTTTGTACCAGGTTCGCAGGAGGGCTAATTTACACCTGTAGATTATCAGATTACAATTTAATTTTAACATACAAGTTAATTTTTGGGTTGCATTTCTCATGAGTACACTATTGGCATGTGTTGCACTCACAGAACAAACACAAAGCATGTTGGAACATAATTTTGCTGCAATTGGCTGACCCCTCTGTCTGTTCCCCCATGACTTATATTTTTCAAAATGAAAAGGAAAAAAGGAGGCATTGCCCTTCTCTCCTTCCTCCTCCTCTCTCTAATCTGCGCTCTCAGCAGGACGTCCAGAACAAGAGTTTGAAGCGTGCCCTTTTATGATCCGTAGAGACTTTTGATCAGACCGAAGCAAATTATACCTGGTGCCCTCCTGCCCCATCACACTCAGGGCTTCGCCTGGACTAATCTAGGGGCTACTGGGGCAGATGTGTCCAGAAAGGCCCTGGACAGTGTATTGGGACAGAGGCCTTCTCCATGGGGAGTCTGAAGGCGGCAGAAAAGGGGGCGCGTGGCAGGGATTTAGTCAGACTTATGAGCCTTGAGAGAGGAGCAGACCTTATAGACAAAGCTGCACAGATTTACAGTGTGCCAGGAAAAGGGGAAAGCGAACTTGACATAGGGCAATTTGAAAACCGCCTCTACATTTCATATTTACTGTAGATCATTTTCCTCAGGACAATTTAATTTAAAACCTGGCATACCTTATTTTCAAACTGAAGCTTACAAAAGTGAATGTTTTAGAACTAACTTCCAAATGTAGAGGCTGTAATGGAGATAGGTTGGCCTTTTGTTCAATCTTTTGTTAACAAGAACTATGTAATTTGCTTGAAAGCGGTTGCTAAATGGGTGTAATTTAGATGAGATGGCATTTGGCAAGGTATTTATGAATTTTTACAGACTTCGCAATAACACTGTGCTATCATACCTGGCATATGTTAAAAAGTTTTTGTAATTGGTCACCAATTTACACACTGTACACACAACATATTTAGAAAAGCATCAAACCATGTTGAATATACTTTCCTGATGTTTTTTTTTAATTTGAAAATAATATTGTTTTTGGTCAAAGACTTCTCAAGTGCATTTCTAAAACCAAAACTGTTGTCTCCTCTCTTAGTGTGATGTACGTCTTTGGGGGGTTCAACAGCCTTCTCCTCAGTGACGTCCTCATGTACACGTCGCCCAGCTGCTTGGCCTTCTCCTCGGCCGCCTCCTGTGCTCAAGCTGCTCCTGGAATCCAGTGTGTGTGGAACAGCACCCAAGGGTCCTGCCTGCCCTGGGACAACAGCTTGACCACCCCCGAGCTGCCCTCATCCTGCACCACTAGATCCTGTAAGTTCCTTCAAAATCAACATATTAGCTTCATCAATACAAATGTACACGTTTGATATAAATCCCTAACCAATATGGGAAATTACTAAGTACAATAAGTGTTTTTGGTTTTGCAGTTGTTTACCAAGATGTTCTTGGATTCGTCCCAACTGATTTTTAATGAAATCTTAGTTGATGGTCTCGTTTTGGGTCATTCTTCCACAGGTTGTGTCTGCCTTTCCACTCACAGCTGCCAAGCAGCTGATTTAGTATTTCACTGGTTACATTCTGCCAAGTTTTGAGGCTTGGCAGTAGTCGTGCCATCCTAGCAGTTTGAGGTGATAACTTCTCACTTAAGGCTAGACAAATTGGCTCAGGGCATTATAATCATCTTGCTTCTTTTGCCAGTACTATCTGATTGAAAATGACCTACAGTTGGCAGCTTAACGTCTAATATTTCAAAATGTTTTCCATACGACTATCTTTTCTCTTCAACTGTGGGTGTATGTATTTTTTAAAGGAAAATAATGCAGAAAAGGTCCATCCAGGGGTAGAAAATCCATCCATTTTTTACCCCTTAATCCATTTCTGGGTCGGGGGGGTGGCCAAAGGTGCCACCCAGTACTGTACACATAGCACCAGCCCCTCACTGATTCTCCTGCAGATGGTGAGTCCACAGGAGGATAGCTGCTCTATGGCAAAGCCTTGATCTGGGTGGGGTTAAGTGTCTTGCCCAAGGACACAACGACAGCAGTCATCAGTGGGAGTCAGTGGAGAAGATCTCATGGTGGGCTCGAACCCACGACCTTCAGGCTTAAAGGCCAATGCTCTACCAACTAAGTGCATAACTGTCTTATGTTGCCAACTTGCCAACATTTAAATGAGAGTTTTATTGTCATTGTGGTTGGAGTTTTTTTTTTCAAAAACGGGCAGATTAATGCAAATAAGTGGTGAAACCTGTAGCAGTTGCCGGACTGGAGAAAATTCTCACCTTGTAACCCCATTTGTTTTAATTTGTATCCTTGGAGCACAATAAAGGGGCTAACTTTAATTTGGATTGTTTGCTAGCACATACTGTACATGCAAAGATGCTCCTACAGTCATGGTGTTGTGCCCATTTCCCTTGATTCCTTGCTCTGACATGTTTCTGCTGCCGGCAATCACCAGGGCCAGCACAGCCTCTCTCCCTGCTCCCCACAGAGTTTCTCATACTTTGGGTTTTGGTTTGTCATTTGTCACAAAATCTTTCACTTCCACTTCCACAACACGCTGGCTGCCCTCATTTCTCAGAGTCAGTCCCTCCGCCAGACTCAACAGATGGAAACTACTATGGAGCCGAAATCTCCCACACCGTTAATACAGCGTCTGGCCTCTGCTGCTGCTGTTGCCCTCACCCAGCTCCACTTCCAAACATCTCTATCAGGGCAGCAAACACTTTGTCTTTAAAAATCACTGCTACTGAGGGTTTCAATCATTGACCCGGGAATTCAAACTGTTTCAATTCTCAGTTGGGTCTAGTTTTAAAGTCATGCAGTGTTTCTAGAACAGGGATTGTCAAACATTTCTTGATTATTTTTCTTTTCTAACATCGACATATTTATCCTTGGTCATCACTTTGAGCCAAATCTTCCAGATTCTTTGCAGTCGAGACCCTTATCCTCACATCATCACCATGTTCCTGTAACTGCTCCGTGTCATCCATTATCTGAAATTGCACCTAAAATGTATAATATTTCTTCTGTGGTTTATGTTAAACAAATATTTCAGAGGAGAAACCATCGCACACTTTTTCATCAAGTTTTTTTGAGGGGTTTAGGTTTTTTTCCACAATATTTTTGTAAAGAGCTCAAAAATCATTCATATGAAATGCTATAAATGTTAATTTATTGGGTGAATTTATCTGTGTTCAGCAAGTGTCCAAATTCTTGGTTGTAATCAAATAGTAAGGTTAAGCACAAAATAAAAAATAAAAAAATCAGCGTTTTTATGATCTCTTCACAGCACCTACATGCAGTAGTAGAACCCTGTACATTATCCAATAGGTCATTGCATTTTTAACATACTTTCATACAAAATTAAATTACACCATCGAATCAAATGGCAATAACATTATTATTTATGTGTCATTTTATATCGCTTTTGTGGACTGGGCAACACTCAAAAGAAGTCTCAAGGCAATTTGAATTCCAATGCATGAGCTTCAGATCTCAGCTTGTCCCATTTGTGAGTACACGTCACTTCCTAAGGCCGCCACTGTCTGTGTGTCTCCCCAGACACTGATAACGAGAGATGTGACCAATACACAGACTGCTACAGCTGCACGGCCAACACCAACGGCTGCCAGTGGTGCTCAGCCCAGTGCATCTCCTTGGGCAGCAACTGCACCTCCAGCGCGGTGAGACACACACACGCACACCTTCTGTCAAATAACACTGCAAAAACTGTCAAGGTCCATAATCCAATTTGTTACCTTTTTAACACATGCTTATGAATTGCATGACTGCTTACTATACTAGTAATTCTACATTTTCTTTTTCATAAATACTACATTTTGTTTGTCACAACAGTCTAGTAAAAGTATGTTAGTCCACAGCATCATCTTATTAGAAGATGGGCGGCATGTGTCACAGAGAGAACGTCCAGGGGTTTGATTCCATCTCCAGAAAGGGCCTTTCAGTGTGTGTGCATATTCTCCCTGTCTGCAAAAGTTTCCTCCGGGTGCTTTGGTTTCCCCCACCACTACAACATGTGCAATAGTTCAGGTTGAATGAGTGTGTTCTTGCAGCTACTGTTCATGAATCCACATTGTCATATTCAAATAAAACTGGAAAACATGTTATCCTTTGCATACTACAGAGCCCTGCGTTTCCACCAAACTGTTTTGAGAGCAAGGAACTCGTTACATGGATTTTATAATCTTCTATTTTTTGTGGCTTGGAAATTGGGTTGGCCAGCTTTAACTATGCCTTTCTGAAACGGAAGCAAAGGAGCAACAGGATTTCAAGCTTGATAGAGGAGAATGTATTTAAAATACCTGGCCTTGGCAACAAAGACACAATCGTCCCCCGCAAAATCTTCTTTTTGTTCATGTATTATGCTTTCAGGTTGGGTTGTTGCTATTCTCAAACTTGTATTACTTTGTTGTATTGAAAAAGCTTGTTGAACAAACTAATGTAATGTTTTCAATGGAAAATCCTCTTCCGTAGCTGCTGTGGGTTTGTGTGCAACTGTATTGTGAACAATGTCTGTTTTACACTGATTTAATTGGAAAACAAATGTTGACACAAGAATCATTTTGATAGCAGGCTGCCTGTGAATTACCCAGTTATAAATTGAGACGTGATGGCGTTTTTGAATAATGATTAAAGTAAATGACTGATGAAGCACGTTCTCCATCCAAATTCCAAATCTGATTTATCAACCGGAGATTAGATTGGGACTCATTTAGATTCAGAGCAGCGCATGCAAAGGGCTTGTCTGTCTCTCCTGGTTTGTTTGGGTAACTTGGGGATTTCAGTGGTCATAATCCAGTCTTTTTATCCAGACGTTGTGCTGTGAGCAATATTAACTGCTTATTAACCGAGCAAGCAAGGTTAATAATTTTATTTATTTATTATATGACTCTCGTCTGTGTCTTTACCAATGCTTTTGAGATATTTGTGAAGTATGTTCATGTCCCACTTAGTTTTGTGTGATACGCGCTGCGGACAGATTGTCATGGTAACGATCCAAGGAAAGATATCAAATGTGATGCACGCTGTTCGGACCAATTGTCATGGTAACGGTCCGAGATGGGAAAATATCAGACCGGTAATCAGCCAATCAGAGCGCGCGTACGGTCCAAGTCCTATAATAAAACATTTTATCATGATTTCACCAGGATGAATTAGAACATTGATGAAAACACCTATTATATGTAATTGCTGTTAAATCTGTAATTGATTCCTGTTTATAAGCTTGAAATAAAATACAAATAAATCAAGCATTAAATAAATCAATGACACATACAGTATGAATATTTGATGTGTTTATCCTGTGACTATTTTTACACGCCTTAAATCCTTAAAATTCATTACCATTGTTGGTATATTTTCTATTACCATTGTTGGTAACTGTTGTTACAATGTAAATGTCCTTGTTGCCCGTGATAACGCCACTCTGGTATGATACTGGCTTGAACTGTAACAGTGAAGTTGATCGTTTAATCACTGAAATGGGGATATAGGGGTGGGATTAAATAAGTTTTTTCTTCCTCCCACTCCTTTTCAGGCAGAAATATATGGCCATGTTAAACCATAGATTTTTGTTTATACATTTGTTTGTTTATACTGTTTTTTTTGGTTTGTTTTTTTAATTGTGTTTGTCTGTTTTGTTTTTTGCTTTATATTATTTATATTACTTAATTGCATTTAATTACCTCGTTTTCTCACTTGTGCCATTGCCTGAAATAAATTAATAAATGAAATGAAATGAATGAAAATAAAGTCATCCAAATCCAAAAATATATATAATTATTGTGATCTTTACTATCCACAATTTCTCTTGCCTTTGACCTGTAAACTAATACTCCTGTTGTATGAGATATAGGGCTTGTTATATGTATAAATCATAATGATTTTTTTCTAATTTTCTATTTATTGTGTTATATCTTAGGCATCTATTGCTGAGTTTGATGGCTGTCCAAAAGATAGCCCTTCTTACGTTTGCAACAAGAAAACGAGTTGTAAAAGCTGTGCGGTGGACCAGAATTGTCAGTGGGAGCCCAGGAACCAGGAGTGCATCTCTCTGCCCGGTGAGCAGCCACACTGCTGTGTCCCGTCCAGACACCTGCTGTTTATTTACAATCTGTCAAAGCCTTGGTCAGAGCACAGGATAGAAAATCAATATTTCAACACTACACTTGAGACTGGTCAATTCAAAATGTTTTTCTTTCAACAGATCTTTTCTTATTTTCCTTGAATATGCATATAAAATAATTACAAATAATGTCATATTATTTATCACATTTGTAATTATTATATATGTATATTTGCTTTTTTTAAACAACATGCTTAAATTATATACATGTTCTACAGCTAAAACATTGCAACTGACATGATACAATACAATATGTATTTTTGAATGAAATGTGAAACAGAAATAAAATGAAAAAGTCAAAACAAACGTACGCTCGACCACTTGCCTAAACCAGTGCTTCTGTTGGTGCTTCTACCATATGTTTTTTCATGTTTTTCAGAGAATGTTTGTGGTGAAAGCTGGCATCTTGTCGGAAACTCTTGCCTGAAGTTCATCACAGCCAAAGACTCGTATGACAACGCTAAACTGGCGTGCCGCAGCCACAACGCTGTCCTGGCCTCGCTCACCACTCAGAAGAAAGTCGACTTTGTGCTTAAGGAGCTGCAGATCATGAGCGTCGTGGTAAGAACCAATTCTGCTCCAAAATGTTTCCCATTGTGAGCCCTTGTTTAGAAATCTTTGATTTTAGGAACGCTAGAATATCAAGTTTTAAACAAGGAGTATGAGACGCACTTGCAAATTGTGTGGTTGCAATCATAGCTAATTGCAAAGACTGCAATTATTGAACAAGATAGGGAATAAAAATGAGCTCAAAATCTCTTGGGTTTGGGAAGATTTCACTTTGTTAACCATGCTATTATACAATCTCAGTTGAATGTTCAACTACCCTTTCAGCTGTACATTTTCTGAGTAGCAAACAAAACTTCCTGACTTTTTTGCACTTTTTTGTTTTTGTATTAGGATTTCCTTTGTCAATAGATGAGCGACAGGGGGATGTTTTGTCTGTGGGTTTCGTGGGCCAGTGAGCATGAAACAAATCTCCCATTAACAGAACAGTTCCTCAGAGCTCAGACATCTCTTACGCGCTCCGTTAGAGCAAACATCTCGAAATCTATCCCTGGCCATCGACTCCTCAGCAGGCGAGGCTATATCATTCTAGGCAGGTCAGACAGCAGCGGAGGAAGGTGAAGGTGTGAAGGACAGACTGAGGACAGCTTTCCTTATCTTAATTTCACTGCTGCCACTTTCAATAACTGAGATCATGTAAAGATATGATCTGTTTATATGGAAAGGCTGTAGGTATTCAAGATGCTGTTGGAAAGTGTTTTGCAATTTCACTCATATTTGGCATAAAATATGTGTTCTTGCATCTGTAAGGTTTCTTAAAAAACATACACAATGTGCAAAATCCTTCAGCTAAGCACATTTTAATCTGAGATGCACAGATGGACTTTGGCACACACTTCTGTTGTTGCCCCAGCTGCCTTGAAGGATGGGTCAAAAGCAGAGCACCTATGGAAATCAATAAAGTAGATTATAACTAGACTTTACCACCACCTTAACTAAATAGTTGCTATGTACATTGATACAATCTATCTGGCATTGTCTCTCAATGTTTAATAGATGCAATGTTTTTTAATGTGCGTCATCATAACTATTTTGTGTTATGCTTGCAGTATAAGGCCATGGTAACTCCATGGGTGGGGCTGAGGAAGATAAATGTGTCGTACTGGTGCTGGGAGGACATGTCCCCGTTCACAAACACGTCACTGCAGTGGCTGCCCGGTGAACCCAGTGACGCAGGATTCTGTGGATATTTGGCCGAACCAGCCTTCAGTGGACTCAAGGCCCAGACCTGCATCAACCCGGTCAATGGGAGCCTTTGTGAGAGGCCAGGTGAGCAGGTTAAATTTGTCTGTACTGAATTCTCTTTGGGTGTTACAGTAGTAATAATGCAGCGGTTTTATAAAATGCACCAGACTCATTCTAGGAAATGTGGGTGTCAAAAGTGTCTTGCCTGAGGACACAATGGCAGTGTGGCACTTTACAGCGCTGTCATGAATTTTTGTTTTGAAATGTGATGGTGTACCACAGGAAAACTGCCTTTCCTTGACAAATGTTGTGAATGTAAAACTAAACAACATGTATAGAATGTAAATGTAAAAAAAAACGTTGTTTTCCTCATTTTGGCAGCAAACCACAGTGCAAAGCAGTGTCGGACGCCGTGTGCCATGCGGGCCACCTGTAACGAGTGCACCAGCAGCAGCTCTGAGTGCATGTGGTGCAGTAACATGAAGCAGTGTGTGGATTCCAACGCCTACGTGGCCTCCTTCCCTTTCGGACAGTGTATGGAGTGGTACACTATGAACACATGTCCACGTAAGTACTTTGCCTGGGAAATGGCACAAAAGTTATTCTCTCCATAGTGATGTATTGTAGAAGGATGTTATTTTTTGTTTGTGGTATTAAATAATTGAGGGACAAACATTTATTTGTTTTTGATCAGAGAAGAACATCAGCGTGCCCAGCGGACACTGAAAATAACCAGACAAATATAGATTATAAAGAATCATTTGACAAATATCTCATTACTCACTCATTATGACACATAACCTATTTGTATTATGTATTTGATGGAATGGAATGGAAAACATGGTGTTATATGTACTGGGTGGCCCCCCCGACCCAGAAATGGATTAAGGGGAAGAAAATGGATGGATGGAATGGAAAATATATATTTGCTTAACCACACTATACACGATATACTTTATCTGTATCTGCTCCTGACAGACGCCATTGTGGCATTGCAGGATGGGTCAAATGCAGAGGACAAATTGCCCTATGCGGATAAAGTAAATCAAGTGTCATACGATTGGGAATTATCACATTTTCATCCTAAAAACCTAAAACGTTAACTCATAATTCGGCACATTTTAATTAATCCTTTATCCGAAATACTTAGAAAATCTGTTTTATCTCAACGGTTCTGGGCTTGTTTGCATAGGAGCCTGTTTGACTCAAAGATAACAGTGATATGTTTGGGGACATATCATTTTTCCTCTCTATATTCAAACCCATGTGTGGGTTTGAATATAGAGAGGAAAAATGCACTACTACTGATCTGAAAATTACAAGGTAGAATTCATTGTTTAAATTAGTAATAAAATCAAAGATGCATCCCCTTACTTAACTTAATCATTCCCTGATTGTTACTGTATCTCCATTAAAGCAATGCATTTTATCAGGCTAAAACGCTCTTGGAAGCCAACATGTTTAGGCGCTATTGCCGTTTAAATGCTTGCTTGTATAAAATGGCCGCCTGCTTCATCAGAATGCCTACCATGAGTCTCTACAGAAAAGCAGAGAACGGATTCAATTCCTGTGACACAGTTGGTCAATTATGTGCAAATATCCACTTGCTGCCAGAGCTGCTCCCTGGGAATAGAACTAAAGATATACAGTGGAATAAGCCATTGGTCAACCTCTGCAATAGAAGGCTCTACTTTGACTTGATGGTATTGATTTAAATAAGTCATTTGCCAAGGTAAATATATACGAGTTATCTGCATTTAGGTGATAAGTCATGTGTGGGATATGGTTTAATGACAATGTAATTAAATTATACGTTTGTTAGACATTCTGAATTTTAACTTGTCTCCATACATGTAGTGCATTATTAACAACAATGCCAGACACTCTGACTATCAATATTTTGTTTATAAGAAATGTGTGCTAATTTGACAATTATTTCATTGATGGATTTTGCCTTTTTGTCTCACTCTTCTATATCCTCTTCTTTCTATATGTTTATTTTGGATGGCTAAAGAAGATGCTCTGACTAGCCTTTTTCAAAATTTGCTTTTTTTGTTGAGTGTAAAGATCAATATCATTCTTTGGATTAGCAGATGCAGCAGCAGCCAGGAGCCTTACTTTCCTTTTTAATTAAGAAAAAGACACTGGAAATCAACCTGTCTTACCTCTAGTCCTAGTTTTTTGTTCCACAATGTAAATATATCACAACATCAGTGCAACATCTGAACTTGCTGAGAAACTGAAATCATTTTTTAAATGTATTTTTGTTTGTCTTTCATGTAGCGGAGAACTGCTCTGGATATCGCACGTGTGGCCAGTGTTTGGACCAGCCCGGTTGTGGGTGGTGCACAGACCCCAGTAACACCGGGAAGGGCCAATGCATCGAGGGCTCTTACCGCGGGCCGTTCCAGACCGCTGTCCCAGCCCCCTCCACGCTGCCTGGTCTTCCCATGAGCCCACAGCCTGCACTCAACGCCACCATGTGTCCCAGTGAGGCAAAGTACAACTGGTCCTTCATACACTGTCCAGGTAATATAGGAATTCCTTTTTATAGCTATTCAATTTCATTACAACAACTCGTAACTGAATGTACCTAAGACGTCTTAGTTTTGTTAAACATACAAGAGATGCCATTTCTGTAGTAACAAATCGCTCTAACCATATTGTATAGTATGTTGCCTTGACGCCTCGCACTTCTTCTGGTGTGTCTTCTGCTGGCTACTTCCCCAATCCACCTCCATGATTGTATTTCTTTAGCTTGATGTTCTCTTCATTAGGGTTAGTTGAGTTGCAATGCACTTACAGTTAATATAGGGTCTGCCACTCTCACTGAATTGTACAGTTTTGCCTAGAATACTACAATCCACAAAAGCTTGGTAAAATAATTCAACTGGAAATGGCCCACACGGCCATTTTCACGTATCTAACCTCTTGGTCATGTTTTGTTTGGCAGCCTGTCAGTGCAATGGCCACAGTCAGTGTGTGAACGAGAGCGTGTGTGAGAAGTGTGAAGATCTGACTACAGGACGACACTGCGAGAGCTGCATATCGGGTTTCTATGGCGATCCCACCAATGGAGGCAACTGCCAACGTGAGCAATCACACACCCCACATTTACAGCATTTAGGAAATAACTGTTAAATCAAACCACAGGCTGTCCCTATTATTCCTATAGTAGGTGTTTCCAACCTGTAGCCATCAGTAGCTCACCACCCCCTTCCAGGTAGCTCTCCAAGGGATTGAGAATTGAGTAAATCAAATAATGTATTGAATATTTCAGAACGCATTATTCACGTTCTAACTATTGTAACCATTGTAAATGTAATCATAATGTGTATACTTTCTAAATGTGATTGCAAGTGATGACTATTGATGGCAACAGTGCCCAATCACGCTATTGCCAATATAGCGATTAATGTTTCCCAGAGCCGCTTAAAGGATTTGCTCTGTGCTATTTCCATCTCAAGTAGCTCTTCCGGGCAAAAAAGATTCGATAACATATATACAAAATCAGATCATATAAACAAAAATGGCACAATCATATTCTCTAAATAATAGAACGGAATCCAGTCGGTTTAATAAAATGCCTCTTATATTTAGTTCCAGCAGAAGGAGCCTGTGTACTGCCCATGAGTTTTAAAACCACTGCACTAAATCATCCGGTCATTCCACAAGCTTCATTTAACTTGTCAGTGTTTTACAGTGCAGTTTATGTCAGCCATTTTCCTGTCTGTAAAGCACTGTAAAAAAACCTCCCCAGGGATAATAAAGATTTACTTCAGCTGTAAGTGACGGACTGCCATTAGGACAACAAATCAATTGAGTTGTCGGACAGCTTAATTTACCTGACAAATATTTCACCTGGTTGTGTCACATGTTTTGTGTATTTAGGATGGGAATTTCTATTGTCAGCCTCATGGGATGAATAGATTTACTCAGTGACAGTTGATCGATACCTCAGCATTCCCTCCCCAGGACTATGGCTGCTGTTTACGCCTTCATTATTTCCAGTTTACCAATCACTGCGCTTGACACACTTCAAACGGAAAGGAGTTGTTACCTCCAGCCGTGAGCGATTAAGCATTTTTACATTCTCGGAGAGGGATGCAATTCAATCTCTCATTTAGAATATTTCTGTAAATATGCACATTTGAAAATGAAAATCCATCCATCCTTTTTCTTCCCTTTAATCCATTTCTGGGTCGGGGGGGTGGCAGTCAGAGCTGCACCCAGTTCACATAGCACCAGCCCCTCAATAATCCTCCTGCAGGTGGTGAGTCCACAGAAGCCTTGATTATTCAGCGGGGGCTTCAGGCAAAGTCGGGTTAAGTGTCTTGCCCAAGGATACAACGACAGCAGTCATCAGTGGGAGTTGAAAATGAAACATTTACAACAAAAAAGAAAATATACAGGTGAAACTCAGAAAATTAGAATGTCATTCAATTTATTTCTGTAACTTAACAACTTACTATGTGAAACTAAAATACTAAAATGCGACACTCATTACACGCACAGTGAGATGTATAAAGTGGCTCACACCTTCCAAATCCCCTAAATACAGAGCTCATGAAATTTGAATATTTTGAAAATGCACTGTAAGCCATAATTATTCACATTAAAACAATGGCCTAACATATTTCACTTTGCATGTAATGAGTCTGGGGACACAATTACAATTTTAGCATTTATTGATTTCAGCATTGTTAATTTGAAGTGGCATATCTTGCTCTATTTTCTTTGTAAATATTGTCTAGATGCCAACAATTAGTCATTGGTATAAAAATGTGGAACGATCTTAATGATCAGCTTATGTTAATGAATACATTATTAACATTTAAAACTGCCTTAAGATGTGAAATGATTAATTCCTATACCTTGCCTTAAAAGTAGTAATAATAATATTAATAATACTACTACTACTACTACACATTATAATACATAATAATAATACTTAATAATAATACATATACTATTACTAATAATACATATACTATTACTAATAATACATATACTATTACTAATAATACATATAATATTACTAATAATACATAATACTATTACTAATAATACATAATACTATTACTAATAATACATATACTATTACTAATAATACATATACTATTACTAATAATACATATACTATTACTAATAATACATATACTATTACTAATAATAATACATATAATATTACAAATAATACATAATAATAATACATAATAATATTACAAATAATATGACAAAGAAAAGTGAACAAAAATACTTTGTTCTAGCAAATATGGTTTTTATGATTGAAATTAGTAATATTTACTTTTTTTATTGTTTACATGGTTGTTGTGTTTAAAGAGCGACTAAACACCAAATCAACTTTTTTTAACTCATAAACTGCATAAGTATGTTTATTGTAGTGCTGTCTACATATCCTGGTCATTTTTTTGACATTTTAGTTCAAATTAGATAAAATATCACTTTTGAGCCAAAAAACGCTGTGTGGTGCCCTCTCAACCTTTTTGGTGGTACTACATTTGAATTTGGTTCTGGCCTCTCCATTGACTCTGAAGTTCTCTATGACATCAGTTGTTTTGTGTGGCGTCAGTCTGTCAGAGCCAGTGATGTGAACCCATTCAACTCTCACACACGCCCCAGCTGCAGTTTGGAGTATTCTGGCGCCATCTAGTGGATTAAAATTAAATTACATGAGTCATTCTGAGATTATTGAGTGTGATTAGGTTCAGGTGTGTAGCTTTACAATTATCTTAGTGTGTAAACAAGGGTGGAATGAGACTTTCTGGTCTGTAAACTATTGCTTTAAACAGCAATGACAACTGTCTGTTTTTTTTTTTTTGTGACAAGTGAGCTGTCAATCACAGCCCAGACCACGCCCAACTCTAAGCCCCCCTTCTTGTCCCTTGGTCCTCCAGGCAACGCCCTTTTTAGAGAACATTTCCAAATCTTCATGTGGGCGGAGTAAGGCTGGGCACAGGTGTTTAGTCGCTCTTTAAGTAGTTAATGACCTGTATGTGACGTGATGTCAGGTTGGGCTCACACAAGTTGCTTCAGCCCAATCCTTTTTTTCGCTGTAATGTAGTCAGTGAATGTTTCATGTCATTAGTCAAACAATTGGCAACTCCCATGGGTTGCCAAATGCCGGCAAGATTTTCCAGCCAAAAACCCGCGAGAATGCCCAAAAGAAAAACACCCAGAATTATTTTTTTGTGCTAAAAACGTAATGTAATCAACTTGGGCTATCATGATTCTGTTTATTGTCTTTCTGTTTATTTATTACCTACAAGTCTCTTGAAGAAAAGTATGCGGGAAACCACCCAACCTGGCAACCCTGCTGCATAGTGCTGTAAACAGGAACACTTAAACAAGTACTTGACACATATAACAACATAGAACCATCAACATCTCGCCTCACATTGCATTAAAAGTGATATCCGTGTCTTAATTTGTTCGTATTTGAACTTGATTGGTCGATTATTGTCTGATCTGCTGAATAAGTTTGCTATGCGCTCGATACCAGACCCTTGTGTGAAGCGAAACCCCTCTGGTGGAGCATGTCGGAACTACAAGGGTCTGGCGAGAGTCAGGCTAGCAAAATACCGGTTAATAGGTCTGCTTTTTCTGTACGTTTACCCTATTATGTTTGTGTTCATTCTATTTCTTTCTGTTCATCTTTGTATCTCCTCAGCTTGTAAGTGCAACGGCCACGCCAGCATGTGCAACCCGAACAGCGGGAAGTGTTTCTGCACCACCAAAGGCATCAAGGGCGACCGCTGCCACCTGTGAGTTCACACGTCTCGTCTGTCTGTTTTACCCGCTGTGTTATCCACAGTTTGAAACTCGGTCAAGGGTTCAATGTTGAATCACGTTGGCATGTTTGGCTTCCCATCAAGATTATTGATGAATTGAAGCAGTTGTCAATGGGTACTTCCGGGGTCATTTTTTCCCCCGTACACATCTCGTTAATTTAATTTTAGTTTATGAGGCATAGTGCAACATTTGCTACAATAATTTCAACTGTTTATTGTATTTGTAGTTTAAGAATTGCAGTAGTAATAAGTAGCGTTTTAATATCTCGGATTTAACCCTTTGTGCCAGTTTTTATTTTTATTTTTGTGTTTTAAACTTTGCATCGGTAAAGACATATTTTACATATATGTAGCGTATTCATTGGAAAAAACAAATATGAACAGACAAAAGGTGATTAAATGAATAAAGTTGATGCAATGTTTGTGAAGTGTCTTGCCTTAGGATACAACAAATGTTTTTGCACTTTATAGCTGCCCCATTGTGGCACCTGGTGTCCCTACAGTCTCCCATCACTGAGCTAACTAGGTCCTGACCTGATTTGCTAGCAGGTGCATGCATGTGGCACCATAAAAATGTAGGGACATACTGTATTTGTGGAAAGCCATGTCCCTGTATAGAAAGTGTCTGGAGCCAATTGTTAATCTAACAACTTTTAAGGACAGATTATTATCTCTTTAGGTGTCAATTTGCTTTTTTTAATTGTTAATCGGATATTTTGCAATTGTGTATATCTTCAAAAAACTATTTCAGTAATAGTCATGTTTATACATGACTTGTATAAACATGTATAAACACAATTTAATCGTACAAAGTAACTGAAATATGAACTTGCATGCATACTATCTGCAATGGCCCCTGACATTTCACCTCTGTTACATCTGCTATGATGTCCCCTTTTGAAATGGTATAAGAGCTTTTAAGAAAGAAACCACCGCTTGTTGGGCAGATTATCTGAAGTGGTCTTTAGCATGCTGTCCGAGGTTTTGGTGTTGACTGATTTGTGTGTTCTCAAATGTCAAACCTCTCCACCCTCTCCCATCTTAACTTTTATCAGGCTTTCAATCTTCTTTTATCCACTCTTCTTCAAGCCTTTGTCACTTTTCTTTCTCTCCACCACTTTCTTTGCCCTTTTTAGGTCTAGCTAATCCTCTGCTTCTCTCTTATCAAGGTGTGAAGTCGAGAACCGCTACCAAGGCAACCCACTCAAAGGAACATGTTACTGTAAGTCTATTCGATCCCAATTATACTAAAAGAACATGGGCTTCCATAGGGTTTGTCTGAGGCCCACTGTAATAGACCTGGTCCTTGTTCTGGTGCTGCCTCCGACACAAATTGGAGAGAGTCCATGTTGGATGTCGAAACTTGAAAAAAAGTATAGCTTTTTGATCAGAAATCGTAGGTTTAAATCCAAACGTTTCTATCTCATGAAAGCGGAGGTAGGGAACTGGATTGGGAATATTTTCTGGGCTTTTGAAAGTTTTGTCTTTAATTAGTCAGCTTTATTTATAGCATAATTACAGTTTCAACAGATTTGTCATTTGTCAACGACATTGTCTGTTATCTGTTATAATTAATATAGACTATCACAAACAGTACTATCCACTACTGTGTTTGCCTCAAATTAGACTGAATATATGGCACTTTTCATATAAAAGAGAAACAAAAGCTCTTTTTACAGTCTTCACTGTAATGTATGGTACAAACGCTTTTACACATCAGTAGAATTTCAGTAGAAACACTAAACATTATAAATTAGTCGTTTTACCTTTGGCTTTAGTTTTGTGTCCAGTCATTGTGAGAAAAGAAGGAAGCAGCAAGAGAAAGAAACTATTTGTCATTTGCAGAAAAGAATGCAGGGGAAACATCTTGTACGGTTGTCCTGACTGAAGTTCAATAATTTTGTCAAGAGGTTTGTAGGATGAAAAACAACATGTATTTTGCCACTAGCTCCCAGTTCTAGTACTTTGTCTGTTTAGTTTGAAGAGCAGAGGATCAAATGATGAAAATAATGCATTAGTCGATTAATCTGTAAATGGTTGCTTTGTCAACCAAAAAATTTATGAATTACAAGGACCAGAATAATCCCTTTATTCACAATGCTATCTTTAAAGCTGCACTAACTGACTTTATTTTCATATTCATTATGAAAATGCTATCCATGTCCATGTAGTGCATTGGGATATACGTCCTTTTGAAGAAAAAGTAGCACAGATTTGTGCTGGTGTGACATTATATTTTAGATCGAGTTTTGATTAAACAAGGAAGAGATGTGTTTTGGGTCGCAGATTGTGACCAATCACAGCGCACCACTAGCCCCCACTTTCGTGAGAAATCTACAGGTCCCTCGTGTACAGACAGCTGAGTTAGCACAACAAGCGGCGGAGCTAACCTCAAGCTTCCTCGTCTTCGCCCAGTTACTGCTTACACAGCGAGACAGCCATCCAAAAGAAAGTCCCGTTCCTCCGCGCTTCCCGGTTCTATCGTTCTATGGTCACGCCATTCACGTGCAAATCCATATCCATGTATTATCCGTATTGGGAGACGCTAGCTCCGTCAACAACAGTGGGTGTGTGTGGGGGGGCAATAGCTTCGTGGGTGCGGGGAGGGGAGCAGAAAGAAAGGCCAGCGGGTCTGCGGCTTCAAAATCCCAGTGTCATTTAGTGCAGCTTTAATAAGGCTATCGTTGCAATTGTGTGTGTTTTTATGCCGAAGGTTTTGAGGGTGCAATTTAGGCCACATGCATTTTACATACACTAGTTTTTAGAGTTTTTTTTTCTAAGCCTACTGTTTTTTGCTAAAATAACAATGAAAAGGTTGGTCATTTTTGGTTAACGTCTAATAATAACTAATACTACATGGTCCAAAAAAAAAAATTGCACAGTCAAAATCTCAATTTCACTTCACTACAATTTCAAAATCATTTGCAGCAAACAGGGCTTATTATTGACAAATTGTAAATGCTCCCTTGAATTCTAGCATGCAGTACATGATTTTATGGTAATAAATACACATTTTAGCATTGATAGTCTATTATTTTTAAGAATTAGTATGGTACTTTTATGGTGTAACTATGACATTATGTTTCAGACCCCAGATGTCTTTCTTTCGGCTTCTAAACTTTCATAAGTTACTTTTAAATTTTGTGCTGATGCCAAGGTGGAAATGTCATCTCCTCATCTCTATCTGTGACAGACAGTTGTTACTGCGGCTTTGCTTTTGGAATAACCACCTTGTTGCATGGTGCTTCTGTGACTTTCAGGCCTCTCTGATTCACACATTCTTTTCTTTTGGCCGCACAGACACTCTGCTGATCGACTACCAGTTCACCTTCAGTCTGTCGCAGGAGGACGACCGCCACTACACAGCCATCAACTTTGTGGCGACGCCCGAGGAGGTGTGTCTGAATCCTGTCCTCTATATTAGGATTATAGCAGTTTGCAACGTCAGCATCGGAGGATGATTTCACACTACTCCCCTCATGCAGACACTGGAGACCGGTTTAAATAAGGATTACAAGGGCATGGCAGAGGCCATAAAGCAGTTTTGAGTATAATCTAGGTGTGTCTGAACTAATCAAGTCTGAAATTAATGTATAATAGTGGAAAATTGGGGGTCATTGATTCAATCTCAGTTGTGAATACAGATAATGGTAACGTGATATTAATTGAAATATGGGTCTTGAAACCTTTAATCGATTTTACATGTTATATACTCTAAAATGTAGTTTGTTACCAATGAAGCCTAATGCATTTTAGTATAAATATACATGAGAAAGGTTGTTTAGACTTGACTAAAAGATGTTCAGAGATGTTTCATTTATTTCATCCACTTCAAAGAGTGGCCTCATCAGAGCTTCTCGAGGGTACTGCAGGTTAAAAGTATTCTATATCTGAAGTTAAGAGCCTGAAGCGAAAATGCATTTGTATATTAATATCAGTTTTGTTTGTTGCAACATAATTGTTCACTTGCAGTACAGTTTTTCACTTTCTGCGAAACATTTACTTTCTGCGAAACATTTACTTGCTGATAATTAATCTATTGACTTTGACACATAAAAACAGATATTTCTCAGCCCTGGAGATAGCCAGTTATTCCAAAACAAGAAACTATTATTGTTTTGCGTTAAATACTTCAGCCGGGGGGTAATGTAATCACAGAAGTTTGTTTGTCTGTTAGTTGGAAATATAAATACAACCATTATGGGCGTATGGGCTCAGAAACAAATTCTTACATTTTAGAGGTTAAATGGATCACTGTATGGATTCAGGATTGTATTTTTTATAGGAATAGAATGATGCCTCTTGGCGGAGGTTTGCCCTCTACAACCATTTTTCTAGTTTATTTCCTGCAGCAATTTATTTGCCATTATTGGATCTCTTTAAAATCTTATCAACAAGTCCTAAACATGTATTAAATCTTTCCTCAGGCTGCCTATCCCAATTGCTATTTATAGCTCAGTGCTTAGGACCAGCACAGCAATGGTGCCACATAAAATACATAGATCTCCTTGCCGCTCTCACAGATGTTTTCACTGCAGCGTGGCTCTTGTCCGCTGCTGTTTACGCGGCTGCAGCATCTGGAGCGCAGCAAAACTCAAAGATCTGATTAAATATCCCAGATGGCACCTCTCACCGATGACGCCGGTGCCAAACCTAACAAAGGCAGCTAGAGGTGTGTACAAATGTGCTTTTAAAGGCACCAGGAATGACTTTTTAATCACCCGAGTTACACTTATTTGATGGATATCCTCTATAAATTCACCTTGCATCAAATGAGGCAAATCTGCTGAGTGTTAACCCTGCGGGAGTAGGTGCCAAAAGCTGATCTTGGGTAAAGTTTAATGAGCCAGCAGTCGTATGTTTCAGCAAAACTCAAAAGAACAGAAAACAATACTGACAGTCTGATAAGGAAACAGAAAGGCATGCTACTATATATAGTTTGCTTTCATGTTGGGTGCAGCTATTGCGACTCTCAGTCCCACTGCAAATGAAAGTCAATTTACTGAAGGTAATTTTGACTTGACATTTCTTAGAAACATTCTGTAGCTGTAAATGTCAGCATATCACTTCTCTCAAGATCATTTTTTTGTTTTCATGTATTTTTTGTCATTTTTTCTGTATTTTTTTATATAATATGTTAGGAGTTTATTTGAATAGAGCTCTTTGCAGTGGTCATACACTTGGACAAATGCCGGTCAGGGCTGCTACAGAGTAAAGTCAGAGTAGCTTTTGATAACCCTAGATTCCTAATTATGAAGAAAGAAGCAGGTGGATAACAGGACGCTAGTGACTCCCGGCTTCAACTCATAGTCTAAGGCAGGGGTGCTCAATACGTCGATCGCGATCTACCAGTCAATCGCAAAGGTAATACTACCTTTGCGATTGACTGGTAGATCGCATTAAATAAATAAAAATATGACACATCATATACGAATATATACAAAAAAGTCTGGGCAAAGTGTAGATTTTTGAAATCTCTGTTAATGCATTTGCGTGTAGACCGAGATAACCGGAGTTTTGCGCTTTTGCATGCCACAGTATGCCCCAAAATTCCTCTGATCACTGAAGCATGGATCATACTACCTTAAAAACTGTTCGCTGCTGAGAACCGCTTGCAGCAGCGAACACCCTCGCTCCACATCATAGAGCAGGAAAGTGATCACGGGGACTCACGCTCGAAAACAACCAAACCAGGACTAAACCAGGGCTGAGGACGGGGGTCAGTGTAAACATATGTCTTCACCCTGGATCTATAATAGAGTGCCTTGCGAAAGTATTCGGCCCCCTTGAACCTTTCAACATTTTGCCACATTTCAGTCTTCAAAAATAAAGATATAACATTTTTATTTTTTTGTCATGAATCAACAACAAGTGGGACACAATCGTGAAGTGGAACGAAATTTATTGGATAATTTAAACTTAAAAAAAGTTTTGCAGTGGTCTGATAATCCTTCCATTTCAACATAATAGCTTGCACAGTGCTCCTTGAGATGTTTAAAGCTTGGGAAATCTTTGTGTATCCAAATCCGGCTTTAAACTTCTCCACAACAGTATCTCGGACCTGCCTGGTGTGTTCCTTTGTCTTCATGGTTCTCTCTGCGCTTTAAACAGAACCCTGAGACTATCAAAGAGCAGGTGCATTTATACGGAGACTTGATTACACACAGGTGCATTCTATTTATCATCATCAGTCATTTAGGACAACATTGGATCATTCAAAGATCCTCACTGAACTTCTGGACTGAGTTTGCTGCACTGAAAGTAAAGGGGCCGAATAATATTGCACGCCCCACTTTTCAGTTTTTTATTTTTTTTTTAAGTTTAAATTATCCAACAAATTTCGTTCCACTTCACAATTGTGTCCCACTTGTTGTTGGTTAATGACAAAAAATTAAAATTTTATATCTTTATGTTTGAAGCCTGAAATGTTGAAAGGTTCAAGGGGGCCGAATACTTTCGCAAGGCACTGTACATTGTAGATATAAAGAATCCTCAATACATTTAAAAATAAATATATGTTTTGCATTTTTGTTGTAGGTAGATCATTTTGACTCGACCATTTTATAAGTAGCTTGCATGCTGAAAAAGTGTGAGCACCCCTGGTCTAAGGCTTTTACTGGGACTAGTTTTATGGTGACTGTGCATACAAGACATGCAATGTATCCCCTTGATTAAAAGGGATTATTCATTTATATATGTTTACTCTTGTTTTTCTTTAGCCAAACCGAGATTTGGACATGTTCATCAATGCCTCAAAGAACTTCAACCTGAACATAACTTGGGCCACCAGCTTCACAGGTACAGAGGTTTATTTTTAGGTCTGATTTGTGTAGATGTGAACCCAAGCTTATTGTGTGTGTTTTCTGTCCTGTGCAGCAGGTACACAGACCGGAGAGGAGATCCCCATTGTGTCCCGGAGCAACATCAAGGAGTTTAAAGATAGTTTTTCCAACGAGAACTTTGATTTCCGCAACAGCCCCAACATCACGTTCTTTGTCTACGTCAGCAACTTTACATGGCCCATTAAGATTCAAGTAAGCTTCTTTCAGCTCAGAGGAAGTTTCTAGTAAGTTTCTTTTAGCTGTAGGCAGAATGTTCAATATGTGTAAGTATTGGAAGTCACATTTAGGCAATTGTATTGCACAGTGCATGCTAATGATATATAAATGATATATATATCAAATTGCTTTAGAAAACAGGAGGGGAAGCGTAGAATCAAAATATATCCAGTCATTTAATATGATACATTTTTAAATCTTTTATCTTTATAGCTAAAATCACTGTTTGTACTTGGATTTGAACATTGCCAAAGTTCAAATTCACAGGTTATCTGAAAACATTTGTGTGATTACATGATGTACAACCATAGACTGTAAAAAGATGGGCAATGCTACCCACTAGCTCAATGTAATGTGGAATAGGGAAGTGCTCTTGGACAATGTTCTGCTCCAGCTCGCTCTGGCTCCTATTGACCTACATTGAAAAGTAAACTCCTAGCTCAGTAACCATTCATCAACATTTAGGCTTAAAATCTGTGGTTTAGCGCTCTCTACAATCCTGGTGTTTTTATTTTGATAAGTTTGTAAATCCAGTTATAGGTCATATAAGGATTGACCAATTTGGAACTAATGCCCTTATATTGGCTCCTCCTAGCTTTTTTCCAAATTAGCCTCCTTCACATTCGGCAAATACGATGGCTGACACCTGCACTCGTTTGGTCCACTCCTAATATAAGATCTATGTGTACAACACTGATAAATGTACTAGTCTGTACGAGTCTGCAATTTCCATTTGAATCCAAAACAAAGCTATTCAGAATCCGACTGTATTTTAATACTCTCCAAGAAAAGACTGCCTAAAAAGCTATGCCAGTTATTGAACGATTTTGTTTTTTCCCTTCATGGATTAGTATTGTAACAATTTCTGCGCATTGCGAAGATCAGCGTAGCTGTTTGCATATTTAACCTGGTTTTGCAGCGTAAAATTAATCGTTTTATTTTTATTTGATGCTTTCCGGGTCTTGTGTTGGCATAAAGTATGGCAGAACATGAAAATAAGGACGCCTTGGAAACGTTTGAGTAAAATATGACAAGATAAATCAGTCACTTAACACGGCCGTGGGGATTAACAAAGACTCATAATGGACTGTTGGTACCTTTCGTTAATTGATCCAGTCCAGGCTTTGAAGTGCAGTCATATCTCCCTCTGACAGTCACCAAACCAACATTGTTCCTCATAACATTCAGAGCAGCAAGAGGCGATGTTGGATGTTTATGTATAAGAGCATTATCGCTTTGTGACAAATTGAAAATGCAATGTATGTGTTTACGAATGTCAGCTCTTCTTGTTCTGCTGCCTGCATCTCAGAACTGCTTTTTGTGGGCTTCCTTTACATCAAACTTTCATTACTTTGGATTAAAGATGTTGAATAGTACTTGCTACACTTTACTTTAGAATAAGAATAAATGTTCATACTATTGGACATTTCATACTGGAATCAGCGACTCAATATGCCTCACAAGGAAGCCTGTAAATGGATACATCACAGTGAAGGGGTAACGCCTCAGGGTCAGGGAGTCTGGACAAGTGGGTCTTGAGTTTACTCTGACATGTAAATGGAACTCTCTTCCTATTTTTATTACAAGGAGCATAAACTGCTTCATCCACCTTCAGCATCATATGGGGAATGACGAGAATGTTGAGGTCTGAGGATCCTAGACTGCGCACAGAATCATAAAGTAGATCAATGATGTAGATTAGGATAAAGATTAAGATGAAGAGATCCTTCATTTGTCCCACAGAGGGGATATTTCAGTGTTGCAATCAAAGTTACATAATAAGTATAGCACAACTCTATACTTTATTTAAATGGAATCTATAAATGCATCTTATTTTTTTAAAGAACCAGTAAAAAATACTGTATGCTCTAGTGCAGGAATATATACTTGTATTAATGTTTCTGCAGATAAATGTGTAACACTCTAGTGCAAGAATATGAGTGTCTTTACCTCTGAGGATTCAAACGTTCAGTGTACATGTCACTTTTATAATCTGATGCTGCTAAGTAAAGTAACAGTGGAGACATGTGGTCCCGAATTGCACATTCTAACATTATTTCAAATGATTGCAGAGTGTTCATTAGTCCTCATTGTTTGTCGTACAATCTGACAGCAGTAGGAAGGAAAGGATAATCAGAAATGGGGCAGCACCAGAGTGTGGAGATCCTTAAGAACAGCTGAAAAATGATCTGAGAAGAGGGCATATTATTTTTGATAAATAAATCATGCGACTAAATCGTCAAGAGTCTATGATGACAGCATAATCCTTTATAAAATCCTTGGGCTAAAGACCAAAGGTGTAATGGTGGGTTACTAATTTCTCATTTACTTTTTGTTTGGACCAGTTATGATCACTTGATTTATTTAGTGAGTAGTAGTAGGAGATAGCCTCTCATCCATTTGATGATATTGTCAATACATTGAAAAAGGGCTTTATTAGTTTCTGACAGGTATAGACCATTACAATTGCTGATCATCAGCATAATTGTGGTATTGTCACATCAGTTAAGATGTAACTGAGTGAGAGAGCAAATGGATTAAAGGACAGCAGGCCAAGAATGGAACCCTGTGGGACTCTACACTTCAAAGAAACTTTATGACATGAGCAAAAAATAAATCATTATTGCTGATGTAACTCTTGAACTATTCTAGAACTGTGTCTGAGAGACCACCCAGCTGTGCAGCCTTTGCAGGAGGATGCTGTGATCAACTGTATTAAAGGCCAAACTTGGGTCTAAGAACATGAGCTCTTTCCTGAGCCAAACATAATTTTTAAATGACAATGCTATGCTTTGATTTAAAGACAGATGGAATTATTTCAAACAATTATTTCAAACGTTATTATACCTTAGGAAGGGGTTTAACGACAGCTGTTTTATATCTGATTATAGCCAATTTAAGGTGGCAATTCACGATGTGAAGAAAATCTGATTGCAGATGGTTGAACACAAAAACAAACATGCAAAGGGGGTAGGGAGTGGGTCAAGGCAACACGATGTGGCATTTTATTAGCAAACCACTTCAGTGAGGAAAAATGCGGGTTGTATTGCTCACATAGGGACTTTCACAATGGTTGGGACATTCTTCTCTGATTTTGTTGTTTACGAATGATGATAATTCATTGCATGTTTTATTGTTGATATTGACATTTGACTGCTGTGTCCTTTGGTTCATGATATTTGACTGATTCAACATAATAGTTTGTAATTTGCATCCTTTAGATCCAAACTTTTAAATCATTCTATAAATAATGTTTTATAGAAGAAAATTGGGTAACTAGTTCAAAGTAGCAGGGATTTTCTGGAGGTGGCACATTCGTATAGAATTCATAGATGGATGAAGCTGTATGGCATTCTGCAGAAATGTATAGTCAAATGAACTACTAGGTTAAATCCTCCAGCTCTGGTAGTCCTGACCAAGCCGAGCATCAACAACTGGAGATGGGTTCCTGGGCGCTGTACTATGGCGACCACTGCTCCTGACGTAAGCCTTAGTGGCATCAGGATTGGTCAAATGCAGAGGATGAATTGCCCTACGAGGATTAGTAAAGTGCACCTTTACCTTTACCTTTACACATGAAAACAAGCAAGAGGAGGCGATACTCTTGGCCACTGTAAGTATTGTATTGTATTATTCATGTAGACTTTAAAGTAATGTACTGGAGCTTCATGGCTCCTAAGCATTGCCCCACTCTATGTGTAATATTCCTGTGAGAAGGGAACCTTCATTAAGGCGGGGAACATGAGATCTGTCTTCTTTGTGTAATTGTAGTTTGTTTCATAATAATTTTCAGTTGTAGTTACGGAATGGGAATTTCAACTTTATGCAGTAAATATTTGTTACAACTTCCTTCTTGTGACTATGTGCTGAAGTCGCTCGTTGCAGAGGTCATGAATGAATGATTGAGTCTGTTGGTACATGTTTTTGCTGCTGACCAGTGGCCACAGCTACTGCACCCACTGAACTCTGCAGCAGAGGTGAAGCGGATCTCATACAGAGCCCCAGTGTTCTACTCAGAAGAAGCACATCCAATGAATTGATTTGCACAGTCACGCTGATGTTTAGCTAATGGTATTGGAGATGTTTTTGTGAAAGCATTTTAGGTGCTCTTGTACAACTCAATAACTTTAGACCTACCTGAATTGACATTCATATTAGTCTATGTAAGACTGGTGTGAATTGACATTCATATTAGTCTATATAAGACTGGTGTTGGACAGACATAAACCTGCACTGGTGTTTTGTTGCGCTCGCATTTTCCCCTGTACTAATTTCAGCAGCCGCCCCTTATAAACTTCATCCCTCCCTCTGCCCTTCCCCTGAAAGCCAGGCTCCGTCCTCCACGTCCTGCCCTGTCAAAGCTGGGTCCACAGCAAAGCATCACTGTATAACGCAACTGTTTTGGGTGGGATTATGTAGGACTTCTCCCCCCTTCCGCTAAACACACTGTTGATATTCATGGAGCTTCGATAGCAAGGTAACAATTACTCATAATTTTTTTCTCTACTTCTTTGCCTTGAGCTTAAATGAGCTGTTGGCAAGACAATGCACACACTGCTAGATCTACAGCCTTTAAGTGTCCAATGAAACTTGTGATCTGTTTATGATGCAAACCAACAACGGTGTCTATTCTTTAGGACTGCAGATCAAGTTGACATGTTAAACTTGTCAACTGTCCGCATTGTGTTGTGTACAAGAAAAAAATGGGTAATGAGTTAATTAACTCATGATTAGATGCATATGTATCGCTGAACTAGCAAACCTGTGCCAGGGCCACAGGGAGATGGTTTCTTAAGGTCTCCATTTGTTCCCATATCTATCTTTCCCTTCTGCTCCACGCCTGCTGTTTGGGAGGCTGTTTCATTCAGATGCGAGCTGGCCTGTGTGCTTGTAGGCGGCTGGCCCTGCAGAGTTGGCAGGCGGAGACACGGAGCGCGTTTGTGCACAGCCGCTGAGAAAGAGCAAGGGCAAAGTGG